GGGGGACTATTTTGACAGTGGGGAAGCAACAGAAAGAGCCAGAGTCCAATATTTTTCTTGAGAAACAAACTGATTCTGCCAAGCAGTGGAAAACTTGACATCATCTCTCTATCACGAGGAACAAAACCTGAAAACTTAGGAGGAGGAAGCTCCATCCTGTCAATGCTTCCTCGTCCTTACTCAAACTAGTACTGCAGCCTTAAAGGAACAGAGGCCTCTGTTCCGAGTGCACTGGGTTCATGTTCTTCCTGCTCCCGTGCTTCTCCCATCCTGCGTGTCTGACATCTAATCCATCTGGATGTATCTCCTTAGAACGTGTGCACGTAAAGCCAATGGGTTGCCTTCTGTGCCGTGGTGTGAAACAGATACTGGTATTAACTGAATGACTTATCTCTCTCCTCATTATTCTTTTCCCTCAAACTCAGCTTGAAAGTCAGCACCTAACTGCCAATGTGTTGGAGGTAAAGGCTTCACAGACACAGAGACACAGCACACCAGATGCCTCTTCTTCATGCCTGTCTGTGGTTGCTTTTCACCAGCCCACTCTCTCCCTAGGCAGTGGCTCCAGCCCACCTCCGCCACCTGATGATCTGGGGCCTTCCTGCCTGACTTCAGTCCAGGACCTCTCAGCCTGTTTATATAAACCTCCTTCCCCAGCTCCTAACAGCCTTATACACAGCCATGCCACAGGCTCTTCCCCGAGCAAGCACTCCTCCCAGTGTGAGAGTGAGTCCTCCACAGCCATTCTGGTTGAACTACAACTGAGAAACTCTGACACTACTGATTGCTCTGAGACACCTTCCCCCGCCTGGGGTCAGAGATCTGCTGTGACAGATGGCATCACCTTAGCAACCCCTGCTGCCACTCATGTAATTATGCTTCCTTCCTTTGACTCCGCCATTTTATTAAGGACTGCACTCATTCGCTATCTGGTTTGGTAGCCAAACACTTTTATCTGCATAGGTGTTGATTAGCAAACCGGCTCTATACCATCTGTTAGGGAAAGCTATTGGATTCATCCCCATTAAGCCCACTTGGTACTAAAAAATTTTTACTGATAGTCCCATCTTGCACTTAGGTGCTGCTTCTGGTTACACTAAAATGCTTGGCTCCTGTTCGACTGTTTTTCTCTGCATATGCTATTAAGTGGCTTACTTAAAAGGCACTGTGTCCAAAATGTAAAGAAGTAGACTATCATCATTTGTTATGCTTAAATTATAGACAAAGTCCAAAATGTTTCAACTCTCGTAACTTACTAATACCTGGATCGTGACGCTTTCCCCTAGGACTCAGGTCGCTGCACCCTGGTTCAACAGTTTGAGTCCTGTCTCCCTCCCAGGATTTCTGACTGCACAGTATTCTCTGTTCTTACTGTTTATTCTTTTGATGACAGCCACCTCTGATGGACACTTCTGTCATAGAGGAGTGAGTGATGTGAACAATCTTAGTCCATCTTACAGAAACTTCGCCTGTGGTTGTTTTGATGTCCTTTCCTGAGCCATCCCAGTTTTGAAATCTATGAATGTATTTCTTCATTTCTACATCACCAATTATTTTTCTCATTTACACAATATTCAAATAGTTCTTGTATACATGCTATCATTGAAGTGTGTCTGTAATTTCATCCAGTGATCACTAATCGCTGAATGCTGAAAACAAATGCCTAAAATGCTGCAAACTTGTACATCATTAAGCAAAGACAGAGAGGGGGATTTCCTGAAATTGTTACCATCATAAATTGCCGATGGATTCTGTAACAGAGGATATATATCTGTGCTACATCGTTGCTATGCCCTGGCAAAACATAAAACTGTAACTTGTGTGCACAGAGAAATGCCACAAGCCATATTTTTAAAAACTTCTACAACTACAGAAAAAATTACAAATACCTCTTTTCAGTTGTTTGAGGTGGTTAGTGTTCATCAAGTGTCTGGTTTTATATGTATGTATGTATGTATGTATGTATGTATGTATGTATGTATGTATGTATTCATCTCCCCCCTCCCAGGAATAACCCAATCAGACCATCACTGGCTACTGATGACCAGCCACTAGCCTCTGCTACACAGCAGATGTGGGTCCGTCCATGCCCTACTGTCATATAAGAATGAGTGATGTGAGCAGTCTTAGTCCCTCTTACCAAAATTTAGCCTGTGGTTGTTTTGAAGTATTTTTTCCTGGGTCATTCCAGTTTTGAAAATTATGAATACATTTTTTTCTTTTTTCTTCTTTTAATATATATTTTTTATTAATTTATTCACTTTACATTCTGACTGTAGCCCCCCTTCCCATCCCACCTCCTCTCCCTTTTCCCCCTTATCCCTGTCCCCTAGTCCTCAAAAAGGGGGAGCCCTCCTCCCCTAACTTGATAGACCCTATACTATCAAGTCTCTTCAGGCCTGCCTGCATCTTCTTTCTCTGTGGCCTGGCAAGGCCGCCTGGTCCCAGGGGAAGTGATCAAAGATCAGGCAGCAGAGTTCTTGTCAGAGATAGCCCCTGGTCCCCTTATTAGTTGACCTACATGGAGACTGAGCTGTCTATCAGTTACATCTGAGCAAGGGGACCTGGGTCCTCTCTATGCATGGTCTTTGGTTGGTGCATCAGTTTCCACACACGCCACTGGGTCCAGGTTTATTGGCTCTGTTGGTCTTCTTGTGGAGCTCCTATCTCCTCCAGGTCCTTCTATCTCTCCACTCTGCCCAAAGTTTGGCTGTGAGTCACAGCATCTGCTTCATTCCCCTGCTGGGTGGAGTCTTTCAGAGGATATCTATGGAAGACTCCTGTCCTGTTCCCTCTCTTCAACCGCTGCTGGTATCTATTTCTATGTAAACATTTTTTTTCTTTCATTGATACAATATATGAATAGTCATATACATGCTATCATTGGCCACACATGTCCAGCGACTAGCCTTGGGTACCCAGTGGATGTGGGTCCCTCCATGTCCTACTGTGTCAGAAAAAAAAAATTTTTTTTTACACGTTTTAATAACATTAAGGAATTTTATCAGGACCTTCAACAACAAAAAGTATCCTTGGTTAAGGCTCTTTGGGATCCTCACGTCTGCACAATCTTGTACCCCATCAGGGGTGTCTGTAACTGAAACTACTCCCAATTCATTGCTGCACATGAATTTTCCATCAGATGTTTAACTTAACCCGATAAGAGAGTAAATCTGTTTTCAATATTTATTCTTCTGTCTCTAATTCGTGCTATTGCAGCCACCAAAATAATACACATTTCCTAAGTATAGTAGCATACAGGTTAGATATCCCTAATCCAAATACCCAGAAGTGAAAATGTTTCAAAATTTGAAATATATTAAGCATCAACATGACATTGTAAGTTACAAATTCCACACCTGACTTCATGTAACAAGTTGTGATAAAAAAACAAATTTGGGGGCTGCCTAGGGGTTAGGACAGAACACTGACTGCTCCTGCAGGGGTCCAGAATCCAATTTCCAGTACCTACATGGACAGAACACTGACTGCTCCTGCAGAGGTCCAGAATTCCACCTACATGGTACCTCATAACCACCTCTATCAGGATCCAACGCCCTGATCTAGTGTGCACACATCCATGAAGACAAAGTACCCGTACATATAAAATAAATTTTTAAAAACTCAAGTGCACTAAAAATGTTTTCTAAAATTACCTTCAGATTGTATGTATACATTGTCTATGAAAAATAAATTAATTTTGTATTTAGATTTGGGCTTCACTCCTAAGATATGTCAGATGTATTTGTGACTCTCCCACACGTAAAGCCACATGAAGTCTGAAGCACTTCTGCCCCTAAAGCATTTGGATAAGGGATGGTCAACTGTGCTAGAAAACTTACTTTTTCATGAAAATCATTATGTCTTTTTCATTCATTATGACATATCAAAGTCAATTAATTTAGAAAAGAAGGCCAAAAAAATATTTGTAGATCGTTCAGCCAAGTCACATAAAGCCTGTTAAGTATGGTGCTTTACACTCACTTAAGTGGCCCAGTTCAAAAATAAAATAGAAGGATTTTTTAATAACTTAAAGAAATATTTGATGAGCACAATCCTTGTAGTTGAATATTTACTGATTTTTAGGATCTATGTGATGTGACTTAAGTAAATTAGCTTTCTTTTGGATCATTTGAAAGCATAAGATTAAAGTGATACCTGCTCTCTTTCAACTTGTATAATCAAAGTTTATTTTTAAAAAATGTAGAAAAGGTCATAAGTTGTGAGTCTCTAGGTCTGTCTGTATGTGTATATGTACGTATCTATAATGTTATTTTAACTAAATATTCTTACTGATGTTTTATCTCATCTGCATGTATTATTCAGTTTGCACAATGCTCAGTGATATACTGGGCAAAGATAGTCCTTCTAGGAACTAAGCTAATTCAACTCAATCACAACATATATCCCCTGGATGTCTATGGTCATCAATACCGTGTTGCATGTTTTAACAACTACAAGAGAAGGACCTGATTGTCTCAACGAAGCTTCAGGTAGCACTAGAAATAGAATATTCAGATATGAAACAAACAACTCAGTTTAGTAAGAAACCAGAATGCTAAGAGAGGTTGAAGCAGGTGGCTCACCAGTGTCTTAACATCTCTGCAATGGTTTACCAGGTATGTGGCTACCAGAACAGGTCATTTCATGACTCATTAATCCAAAGACTTGCCTTGTGTGGTAGTCGCCTTGTTTTGGAAACATTGATTCATTAGAGAGTGCTCTGTGTCTGCGAACCAGCAGAAGGGTGTGAGAGAGCGTGACCACTTATGGGCAGCCTGTGGGAGCTCAGTTGTCTTCCCCATTTATTGGGCAGCGACCCCTGCAGGTGGCTTTCACAGGCCCTCTGATAATATAGAAGAGTGAAAAATAAAGGAAAGGATGGAGAAAACGGGGGAGGGGAGAATTTGGTCCTTCAGATGTCAGTGTTCAAAGTAAATAAACTCTTGTTGCCATTTAAAGGAGCAGATCTGTAACAGGGTACTTTGTGCTTTGCTCAGAGCCAGATAACCATCAACGGCAACTCTGGTGGTGCTGTGAGTCCAGTGAATTACTATCAAAGGCCATTTTCCCCCTCTGCGTACTCCCTTCCAGCCTCGCTCAACTCCAGCATCATCATGCAGCATGGACGGTCACTCGGTAAGAACTGTAATCATGTTTTCCACGACAGCTTTAATGTGACCACTGTATATCACAAGAGAAAAATGTGAGGTAACAAAGGGAGACAGGAGTGACTCTCTCTGGGGCTGGAGAGGTGGCTCAGCAGTTAAGAGCACTGAATGCTCTTCCAGGGGACCTGGGTTCAATTCCCGGCACCCACAATGGCAGCTCACAACTGTCTTTAACTCCAATTCCAGAGGATCTGACACCAATAAAATAAAATTAAAATTAAAATCATTAAAAATGTACTCTCTCTGGTGACCTTAACTTGGGAGGAATTAGAATAGAAGGGTCTACATTGAAACAAAGAGGTTCCTTGTTATTTGAAGGTGATAATTGTCTAGCATTTAAAACAATGTAACAAGGGACAGGTTACAGTAGCACAGCAAAATGCTAAAGTGCTGGACCACAGTCCTAAACTATTCAAACTGATGTTTGAAGGCCATCAGTCATCATCCCATTGCCTGTCTTAGCACAGTTCTCCCCATTTTGCCAATCAAAAAATATAAACACTCAAGTATAGATAGACCTTGACTTTAGACATAATAAGTAGACTTTGCATATGTTTTAAGTTTCATAAGCAGTGAAAATATGAAAGTTTGTTTTACAACTTTAAGCATGTGTTTTTGTGGGTATTGTGAACTCTAATTTAGAGTGTCCTGGGAAAGTCCTATGCTTCATAAAGATAGAAACACTCTTATGCAGCCACCTATATGAACATAGCTTTAAAATAATGTAACAAACATGTTGTTTGAAAAGCCTTACCAAACCGACCGTTATGTGAGGTTAGGTTGACAAAGAGTTTCTGTGATGCCGAGCAAGTTTTCAGGCCAACAAAGCAGAAAGCCTGCTAAGGAGAGCATACATACACAAACCTCTCAAGAGAGGAGCTTTCTTACAGTCACTACAGGTCAGCAACAGAGAGAGAACTCTAGAATACAGAACTATATACACCATTCTATAGTTGGCAGAAGACCCCTTTCCCTCTTCCAACACTGACTCTGAACCAAAAGTTTATGATACCACAAGTTGACTAAAGAACATTTATGTCAACTTCAAGCCCACTCATGGTAGAACTCAGCTTCCATGGTCAACAAAACCTCTATAACATTTTAAATATAGTCATGGGACTCATTAAAGAAGAGTCTAAATATACTTGTGCCTTTTCTAATGCTGCTCCTGGGAGCCACTTTTGAAGCTTGTAATGAGCTCCTTTTAGACTGTAAGAAAGAAGAGCTTGTTTGTGCCAAATTTCTCTCTTTGACAACCAGTCCACAGCTCAGTCTTATAACCGACTCTGCTATTTCAACATTTTATAATGGAATTATTCATTATTATACATGCAAATGAAACTTTCTAAATTATTTCGGCCATAAAATTTTTCTAAACAATCTTTAAGTGTTACTCTTTATACTATTGCCTGTCTTAATGGCCAGTTTTCCTCATTATACAAGTAAAAAAAATATGAATACTCAGTTATAGGCAGGCCTTGACTTTATACCTAAGCAGTAAGTAGATTTTACACATAAACTGTTTAACATGGAAAGAAATTCCCTGTATAAACATTGAGCAGGTTCCAATTGGCCAAGGCAGTGATGGGAGTGGAATTTACAAGTCTACTCTGCCCTAGGTGAACTTGAGATGTAGTCAAAGACAAAAGATCACAAACGTAACCGTTTCTGGTCCATTTAAGAGAAATATAAAAAGAACCAGCTCTCATTGCACAAGCTGTGGGTTTATACAGTCACATGAATTGTTCACAAAGACAGACTTAGTACTGTCTTTCGGGTAATGACTGCAACTGCCTACATGTTCAGAAAACACTGACAAAAAAAAAAAAGTCCTAACATCGTGGCTATCCCATCAAGGCCTTTGAGGAATTAAATTAAAAAGTCAACCATGGTGACATAACACACTGTGACTTTTGAAAGTGTTCTCTAACATTAACAAGAAGATGGAAATTTGATAAGCTTCATGTAACTTTAACCCTTAAAAGGATACAAAGCCATGGCCTGGTTATTCTACCATAAAACCAACACTATTAAATAAAATTCAATAAACTACAATCAATGAAAACCACATATTTTCCCATAAGCCTTTACTTCCTAGTGTGTTGTCTACTTCTAAAAAAAAAAAAGATTTAACTGACTTTTATTTTCATTTTATTTTTATGGAATGTCTTGGGATCAATAATCCTATAATAATAATATAATCACCTCAAATACCTCACATTACTTTTTCATAATGGCAGCTAGTGTGAGGATCATCATGACTTACGACCTACGTAAAGTTGCTAGGCTTCTTTCGGTGTCAGCCCCTCATCTATAAAGTTGACCCTTGTCCCCCTCATCCTTTCCTCCAAGATTTCTGGACAGAAGGTGAGGTGGGACATATTTACTGTCCCCTCAACAGAGGTTGCCAACACCATTCAACATATATTCTTCCTCACACTTCTTTATAAACCAATGAGGCCCTTGTTCCATGCCTATAAGTAAATCCGCTACTGAATAAGATGGGGTGAAGTTGTGAAAAGGCATAGTTAGAAGTATGGATTCTGTTACTGTTGGTGGTCAATGTACAAGAGGCACCATTCATTCATAGTCTGCGCATCCAATGTGTTCCTTGTCTCTGTATTTTCTACACAGATTCTGCAGAGACATATTCCCAGCATGCCCAGTCTCTGGATGGCAGCATGGGAAGTTCCGTCCCACTCTACAGATCCTCGGAGGAAGAGAAGAGGGTGACAGTTATCAAAGCCCCACATTACCCTGGGATAGGCCCTGTGGATGAGTCTGGGATCCCCACAGCCATCAGAACGGTAAGCCACGCATGGCAGCCTGCGTGTCTCTCTGGGGTCTGCACATGAGCTCCACAAAGGATGGATTGTGCATGACTTTTCACATTCCTCGGGTCTTATAGCACACGGATCGTCCTCTGAGACGTCTGAGCTTCCATGAATACCAGGCTGTGTGGCAGAGGGAGAAAAGCGCGCCATGAAGACAACCACACAGTCTGTTTTTCCGTTTGAATTTAAAATCGTGAAAGTTGTGGGTTGTGCTAAATAATAACACTTTGTTTCTAACTTTCTATCAAGGAGAGGTAATGCCTAGAGAGAAAGGAAAAAAAGGAGGGGGAGGGGATAAAGTGAGTAAAACTCCTTTCACAGCCTCCAATTCCCACATGCACTGTAAAAAGACAAGTCATTTGTTTCTTGAAATGGATGTAAGTTAACACCAGGAGATGGGAAACTGTGAATTGGGACTCGGGAGGTGAGATGATTGGAGTGAAGGGAGGGAATATCATGGGAAGGAGAAACTGTCTGTTTGGAAAAAAAAAAAAAAAAAGGAATATTTGAGTGTCCCTGTCCGCTGAGCCTGCTGAGAGCCGCCTGTGTGATGAGTGAAAGTGTTAAGGGCATTTTTTTTTTTTAGTCTTTAAACTCTGCCAGAGAGTTATTCAGAGTGCTGGGGCAGCCCTTTCTGGCAGCGCTCCGCAGCAGCGAAGCCTAGGCAGGCAGCTGTAGGCTGACCAAGTCCACTGCGAGGGCTGTGGTAGCAGAGAGGCAAGACCGACCGGGAAGCCAGGATGAGAGCCACGGCATCTTTGCAGGTGAAATCGGTTTGGGGAGGAGGGGCTGGAGCAGAGTGAGAGGAGGACGCTCCGGCTGCATAGACAATGCCTGTGCACCCACATCAAGGACTGAGGCGCTGCCAAGAGCAGTATCCCCTGAATGGAAACGCAGGGAACCAGAGACAGTAAGGGACCTAGAGAAAGAACGGTCAGGGTGTCAGGCCAGAGGCAATGGTGAGACAGGAAACGTTTGAAAAGGATGAGAGATGAATTATGAGGGTTCCCCTTCTGTTTTTCGGTTTGCAGTGGTCGTATTTTTATATAGACGTGAGTTCAGAATTGATTATTCTTGGCATCGCCGTTAGAGTTGAAGCCAAAGAAAGTATATCTGCGTAGCATGCGCTTGGAATTTAGACTTCGCCGATTGTTAAGAATGTGACTAATTATAAAGCTTGAAAAATCTGTGTTGGGATGATGATGGTCATATTTAAGTGGCAGAAAAACCCCCAGGGCATGTGACTAATACGTTCTACTTTATGAAGTTGTATGTTTCTGATGACAGTGTTTTGACTTCTGTGTTCCCTTCAGAATTTCTGACTCAAAATGGCTAAATTTGAATTTTCCCAGGATAATGAAGGGATAATGACTCAGGCAGGAATGGTGTCATGGATTTTGCCTGTTAGCCCTTGAGACAAGGTACACACACAGGCTAAGAGATCATTGCTTCCTGTGCAGTGACAGACTCTGTCTGAAAAGATTCTGTCTAAAACCTATGAATGTGCTTTCAAGTTAGTAAATGATATTTAAACAGTGGGTGTGTTAATGTGACCCGTTCTTTTTAATTTATAGATTTTTAATCTGTAGTAATTTTTTTGCTCAAAAGTCTTTGCTTTGTTAGGTTTTTAAGAAAAAAATTCAAGCTGTTGGAGATGATTAATAAAACTTAAGTAAAGGTTTATATTATCCACTGCCAAATGAAAAACATGCCAAATGATAAGCAACCACATACATCCACTAAGCAAGGGATGTTATATTCCCTTATAGAAAACTGAAAGTGAATTATTAACCACTGCAGAAGTTCCTTGTAAGGAACCATAGTTTTTTCTGTATAACTTGCTCAGGCCTTTAAAACTGTACAAAGACAGCAGCGATCCTGTTCATGTTTACTGCTTTGCAGCCTTATAAATTACACATCCAAGTATAGACCTGTGTTTATAAATGCCTGCCATCCCTGGGCCAAGAATGTCCAAGGTTATTTTCTTCCCTCATTCGTGTAGAAAGTAATGATTATCAGACTCAAATTGCCTCAGCTTCCTGCTCAGAATGTACATTAAAACTAGCACTGTCTCAATGTGCCATGTCAGAAAATCCTCTGAGATAACTAACGAATACCATGGTAACAGGATATTGTAAAGTGGTCCAGAGACTGCCCATAACAAGAATTGAATGCTCACTACTTTTTGAGTTCTTGTGATGAAGGGAGATAGCTTTGCAGACCATCCCTTCTCCTGTGACCCAAGATGTCTATGTCAGCCTTTTCCTGCCATATTCTTAAAAACAGTGACAAAAAAAATCCTTAAGGATCAGAGCCCATGAGACTGTGTAAGAAGTCTGGCTAGTTAAATGAGATGCAAGATTTCTTTCTCCTAGTTCAAATATAACACTTGTTTGGCTATTTTAGAGCTAGCAAGGGAAAAAGCAGAACATGATGTTGTTGTCTTACGTGTAGAAAATATATGTTTTTTTTTAAAACGTCTGTATGTTAAATCAGTGAACAGTGCTGATGAAAGTTGGAGCCCTACTGCTGTAGGAGTACAGATGACAGTCGCATTGTAGGGTCCCAGGAGTCATATAGTCCATGCAAAGTGCCTTTAAAGGATGCTTTTACCAAAAGCAAATCTCCCAAGTGGGGACTTCTGCGTCATAATCTCAGTGTGAGACATAACATGCTCCAAAATGGCACTGACAAAAAGAACAGAAGCGTTCACAGCACTTTCTTTAGAGAGAGACACTGAGCTTGCATTTCTGCCTTACTAGCTTCACAGTCTCCCTGCCCGCCAGCTGGGTCTTTCCTAGCTTCTTTGTACTCACCATATAAAGCCAGCAGATGGCCTAACTGTGAGATCCTGCCTGATATAGGCCCTCTGGCAATTGCAGACAACAATGCTGTCTGTCACAACACATTGCCATATACAGCGATGTAACTTCCTTATTCGGCCTCCCTGCTCCCATTGGCTGTGGCCAGGTACAGTGAGAAACTATTTTTATACACAGTTGTATGTTACTTTTTTGTTGTTCTTTGTTGTCGCTCTGAAAGCATAAGAGTATATAAAAGAAATGAAGCCTAATGAAAGGGAAACGTGCCTTTTAGAAGAATAAATGTCCCCTAAAGATATATATGTTCAGGTGTTTGGTATGGGTATATGTTTGTGTGTATGACCGTGTGTGAGCACATGCACACACGTGGGTGGGTGGGTCAGTGTGCTGAGAGAGGCCAGAGGTCAAAACTGGATGTCTTCCTCAGTTGATATCTGGGCTTTTTCACTAAAGCCAGAGCTGTCTCTAGTGCTGGGATTACAGGAGCCCACTGCCATGCCCAGCTTTCTACAGGACTGTTGGAAACAGACACCTTACTGACTTAAATGCTCTACCCAGCCCCCGTATTTCAGGGTTCTGTTTGAACCAGCAAATAGCAGATTCTTGGTTTTTGTGCTAGATTACCCTGGATACCAGTTCCTATCATTTGGCCATATACATATTATATATTTTTATTATTAAATATATTGTATATTTGAACTATATATGCTATTTAATGTATAACATATAGTACATAGTACATAATATATATTTAAATTATAAATATTCATTATATTTGTATACATAGGTATATGTTTGTATGTCTACATATGTATATATATGTACATATATATAATCAATGATGCCCTCAAGCTCCCATTGTAGAAAAAGCCTACAGTGCATATGTAATTCTCAACAGAATTGATGTCCATTTATATCTCTAGTGACTGTCAGAACTGTCTTTCAGAAGTCCAAATAAATTTAAATACTACCTAATAGTTTCTAGGTGAAGAAATGCAATGACCTCATATATTAAAGTCAACATAAAATATCAAACAGTTCCCACTCTCACAAGTACACATTTTAACCAATGTTTTAAATCAGGGCAATGATCTCAGAAAACCTGACACTTTGATTTGCCTGTGCACCGAAGGGTTAACCTCTGGCCCAACTAGCTCTGATAGAATTGAGATAAAGACCTTGCTAAGCAAACTGTTGCTCTGCAGCTAGAAAAGGGGAGGCACGTTCTCACGTTCTCACGGACTGTAAGACAAGAGTCACAGCCAATAAGCTAGGTTGGCGCAGTGTCTCACTCCACGGATTTTAGAGTTCCCCTGCAGTTTTTATTGTTTGAGACTTGTGGTAGTGGAAGGACTGTTCTAAGCCCCTTAACATGCACCGCTGACTCAGAGATCAGGGCAGAGGATGGAAGAGGTGGCTAGCCAGGATCTACCTCTGGCTTGCACACACTCACATGGGTGCACACCTGTACACACACGAATGTGCCCCTCCCCCCCACACACACACGTGTGCACGCACGTATCCAAAGAAAAGAGAAGAGATACAGAACTTTCTCAGATGTAAGTTTCTCAAAAGCATTAAGTAGTAACTGAAGGCTCCAAGATCTGAATGTTCTTTAATGAGGATATTAATTCCCTATTTGTACTGTACCCTGCTGCTTCTAACCTACCTGAAGCCTGGCTCTCGTGAGGAATGCTGACTATCACAGAGTATATAATTTAGCAAGGCAAAAGTTGTCTGCACTGTCTTATTAAAGAAGCTTTGAAAGCCTAGCTACACTTTTATTTATCTTCTATGACTTTGCAATTATCTGATACAGTCAGTATATCAGTCAATTGGACAAGTAAATGCTAATTTTACCTTCATTGAAGCTGATGGGAATAGCTACTGCTTGAGTCAGAAATACCCCCTAGTTAAAATTTTAAATGTCTTCACAGACCACTCGATATAAAATTTTAAGAATAACGATAAGGACTATGGAAATAGATCTGTTAAATGCTGAGTTCCATGCACAACACTCACATAAGAAAGCAGGCATTGTGGCACACATCTGTAATCCCGGAACTGGAGGGGTGGGAACACAAGGATCCTGGAGCTTCCAGGCCTCATAAGCTCCAGGCCTTGTAAGGGCCAGGTCCCAGCAAGAGACCCTATCGAAACCCAGGATCACCTCTGAGGAACAACAGCTAAGATTAAGGTTGACCTGTGTCCTACACACACACATACACACACACACACACACACACACACACACACACACACAGTAATAAGCGGGGCTAATGGTAAATCCATGTAATGCCAGCACATGAGAGACTGAGGTGAACAAATCATGAGTTAAAGGCCAGTTCAGCATACACAGTGAAGCCTTGCTTCAGACACATACAAAATAACAATAATAATAATAATAATGAGCTAACTTGAGTCAAATAGTCACTATCCAGTACTGGCCATGGCTGATTTGAATAAATATAACCATAATACACAATGTTCCAATTCAGTAAATATGGGATACTCTACTTACAAACTACAGAAGTAACAGGATAAAGTGCTGAAATTGGGGTCAAGTCATAGTAGAAATGCAAATCTGCTCTTAGAAATGTCAAATGTTAGCAATGAAGACTTTTCCCAGGAGGGTTGCCTTTTGAGAGTATGAGGCCTCAAATTCTGGAGTCAGGACAGAGGCAGATCGCCATTTCGAATACAGGATTTATTAGAACAGTTCCAACACTGTCAGTAGACATCAGCATAGCAGAGGTTCTGGAAGACAGGCCAGATCCACAAGGCTAAATAAAGCCCCTCTTACAGGTTTCAGGGAGAAAAGGCAGTCAGTTACATAACATACAGCTGGTGAATACCATGACACAGGCTTCCAGCCAGGTTGTCTGAGACACTCAGGTGCCTGGGAAGGGGAAAGACCCAAACCTTTGGTAACATGTGTCCATCTTTTGGAGTGAGCGGCCTCTAGCCCCTGATTACTTGGAGTGTTAGATAAACCACTTTGAGGATAATGAGCGCTATAGACTCACAGTTACAGCAAGGTGCCTGCCTTTTATTTTATAGCAGCCGCGAGAGTGAATAGAGACAGAGGCTGAAGCAGGTGGACATGGCCTGAGCAGCCCTTTGCCCAAACCCAACAGAAAGGGTTTATAATTCTTGGATGTTCTCTTTGACAGACGGTTGACCGGCCAAAGGATTGGTACAAGACAATGTTTAAGCAAATTCATATGGTACACAAGCCGGGTATGTATATTCTTCTGGTTTGGTTTGGTTTGGTTTGGTTGTTGTTTGTTTGTTTTTTTGTTTGTTTATCAAGTCCTTATGGGTTGAAGACTATATATATATATATATATATATATATATATATATATATATATATATCTGCAACTTTTGTATAGACGTTCTCCACACAAAAACTTCAAGACCCCAGCAAACTTAATTTCCACTTCTTTTCAGCATTTCTCCTATTCTCCCTTTATCCTTCCTAAATCACACATCTGTGCCTGGGCCTGTGCCTTAACTATGAGTTGTCAAGAAGCTCCTAAGAGATGTCATTGGAGGCCACCAGGAGCCACGCCTATCTCTGCCACATCTAGGCTTTAGTCACTTCTGCTCCTGTCTGCCCATGTCCCTCTCTTACCTCAAGAGTGAGTGCAGGTGACATCCCCTAATCCCACAGTGTTGTCAAGAGACCTTAAAAGCACTTACTGGAAAATTATGATGCAGAGAATACAGGAAGCTGCCTGGAGAAGAGAAGTCAAGGGACCAGTTTTGCATGCATGACTAGGGCGGCAAGGTACATTACTTCATAAATAAAATCACTCCTCAGAGGCCCAGAGAACGGAATATTTAGAAACAGAAAGTGCTATTATATGCTAGAAAAATAAAAATACATTGCTTTATTTTTTTTTTTGTATGTTTCTGTCATTTCTCTGACCTTCTGTTGTCTTGGCAACAAGGTGGCAGATTCTGGATTATCATGTGTATGTTTCATTTTCTAGATGAGGACACAGACATGTATAATACTCCTTACACATATAATGCAGGTAGGACGGCTTTCCTGGCTTGTTTGCGATGACACCCCACATGCCACTGTTGGGGAAAGGCACCCCATCTTGTCCTTTGGTCCTTTGTCTCACCACTCAGACCTCATGTCGTCAGTTACTGTGATGAGGAGAATGCCCTACTTCTCTTCCCATGGCATGCCTAACAAAAGATTGATCCTTTTCCCCCAGAAATGGGAACTAACACTGTTCTGTGTCATTCATTCCCCCCTGTTGGTTTATTCTCAACTGCAGGAATGTTTAACCACAGTGCGAAGGGGCAGGGTGAAAGAACAGACTATGGCCTGGGTTACACAACAAAATAAAGATCTTTTTATCAGCAGAAAGCGTAATTATAATTGCGTAAGACCTCTCAGATATTATTCCCAAAAAACAAGTCAAGCAAAGTGTTTTACGACCACGTTCAGGCTCTTGCTCCAAAATGGAACCATTCATTGAAAGGTCTGGAAACCTCCCTCTTGGCTAAGTCACTTTTCTGACTCAGAGTTGCCAATGCTCACAATGGAATGACTTCAGCTCTGGACATTCCCACTTGTGTTTGGATGTGCTGGTTTCTTGTGGAGTGGTCTTCATGCTCATGTGAGAGACCCCTAAAAAAAAAAAAAAAAGTTCCCTTTCATCAGTTTTTCCTAAGCCTCACATCAGGAGATTCTACCCATCCTTAGCCATAGACCCAGGACTATGCCCTCATTTTAGGGTCCCCTTGCCACCCTAGTAGAAATCTCCATGAGACTTTTCCCCTTCCGATAGTCTGATGACCAGCAACCAGCCCTTTAACTGGGTGATTTTGCTGCTCAGCTCTAAAGATAAATGAGATAGGGAGTAAAAAAAAAAATCAAACATCAAGGTATTGACCTTTGAGTTAGACTCTGTATCCCCGGATTATTGCAGGAAGTCCATTAACATAAATACTCCCTTCCTGGTCCTGGTCCATCAAGCTCAGCTCCTTAATTTACCTCACAAGTTGAAGTCTGTGGAATTGACCCAGAAACACTTAAGAGCAGGTGTTGCCTAATGTCACTTCTCATGGAAGCAAACCTACACAGAGAGGCACTCAAGCACAGATAGACTTAGCCCAAGATTAAGACTATGAGAGACTCAGAATTTTTATATAATTTTAAATGTTGAAATTGCTGCATCTTGCTGGTAATTAATGAAGCTGAAGTTCAGTTCTTAGCCTGTAAAGCTCTAGAAGTTTCATCAGTCAGTCAGCAAAATACCCATAACTCCTCTCTACTTTCGACTAACCCACGGCTTTGTGTCTTGCATGCTGTTCCCACCACCCTCTCCTCCCCACCAAACCAGACCCAACTCTAGTCCCATGGGATACCTACTATCTTCTCTGTCTCATGCATCATTGTCTAACTTTCTCCCTTGGATTTTATTAACTATCACCAACTCTCTTCAATTACCTATCTTCCTGTAACAGCTTGGTGCGGAGGGCTCACCTTCCTCTGTCTCACGAGGAAGCAGAACCTCGTGTATACAGCATGTTCAATATTTGTTGGAATGCAATTACCATAACAATCGTGATGTGCATGTCAGTCTCACAGAGGACTCGCTGCTATCCTAATCTTCCTCTGGAAGTTTACCTTAGGCGTTAGTTTCTGTAACAGAGAGCATACCTTGCTGAATACCCGTAAGTCCGTTTTCCACTAAATAGCCTGGATTTTCATTAATTCTACAAGAACTGATGATTTATCATAATCAGTGCTTATGTGCAAGACAAATGGATGTCTAATTAAAAAGTGATAATTTATAAATCAGTGTTGGTACATTAATAAACGATGTACCACCTAATGTGTATATTATGAATATGCTTATTGGTAATTATGGGAAAACCGCTGGTGATTCTGCAAAGCCCAACCTCTTCATGCACTTGTTATTTGCCTGTTTCATTGTTTTTTTTTCTCTTTCTCTTGGTAGGTCTGTACAACTCACCCTACAGCGCTCAGTCCCACCCTGCTGCGAAGACCCAGACCTACAGACCTCTTTCCAAGAGCCACTCAGACAATGGCACAGATGCTTTTAAGAAGGCACCCTCCCCAGTGCCTCCCCCGCACGTTCCCCCGAGACCAAGAGATCAGCCTTCAACCGAAAAGTAAGGCTCCTTCCCCCAAAATGGCTTCTCTTAGGATAAAAGCCAACCCACAATGGCACCCAGTGAAGAGTCGCTCCACCCAGCACTGTGGAGCGAATGTATGCATAAACTTACCAGTCTATATGGAGCATCTGAGATGATGCCGGACACTTTCAGGGAAGTCTGGGTCATGCTAGCACAATGCTCTAAACTAAACTTGATGTACCAGGAGCACGACCTTTATTTTTTGTGCGAATATGAAATAAAGAGGCCATGGCTATCGTTTGTAAGTCAGAGAGCATTCGTCCAAGTACTACAAACAACAACAAAACATGCACACGCACATACAATGTCCAAAGGCCTTACATGTGAAGCTCAGTGGTATTGGTTTACTCCACACACACTGGACTGTGAGTCCAGTTGCTGAGCTGAAGGGGGCTAGCATGTGTACATCATTCATGAAATTTCAGTCTTCATAAAGCTTATAGGCATGAATACAAGGCCACTCTGAGCTACATAATAACTTACAAGCCAGAACTAGCTACATGGAAGCATTCTTTCTCAAAATAAATGCATGTAAACAAAGTAACTGGGAAGAGTTGGCTTGGATTCCCTTTGCTACCCTACCTTAGAGAGAGATGAAGCAGTTAATTTTTTTGTTTTCACAGATTTGAAATTTTAGGTCTTTTAAGATGCCTTTTAAAAACCAAGGAAAATTACTCTTAACTCATAAATAAGGCATTAACAAGCATATGTGACTCATTTCCACCAGTTATTTTAGCTGATTCTAATTTTCGTTTCTCCACTGAAATATTTTTTTAAGTAAGCTATTCACACTCGAACTTTTTCTGAATACATTTCAGTTGTGTTATTTTAGTAGGACTGTGGCTAATATTCCTAGTTATTGATAATCTTTACTGACAGTTGATTATGAAGAAAGCACTGGGCTAAGCAATTTCCATGTATGATGTCATTTTATTCTGATAATAACTCAGTAGGACACGTTCTACCTGACAGAGAAAGAAACAGGTTAGAACATTACAATAACCTTGCTCTATTTGAACGAATAGAGTAGCCTATGCTCTCTCTACTGGTGATTAATAAGTAGTAATGGAAAAGTTGTTTGTTATTACCAGTTTTTATATTGCTGTTTTTTTAAGTATTCACTATCATGTACTGTCTTAGTTACTGTTCTGTTGCTATGAAGAAATACCATGACCAAAGCAACTCTTTAAAAGAAAACATTTAATGAGGGCCGCACTCACAGTTTTAGAGGCAAATAGACAGGCATGATGCTGGGCAGTAGCTGAGAGTTTTGCATCCTGATTTGCAGGCAGCAGGCAGGGAGACAGACACAAACTAGTGTGGGCTTTTAAAACCTCAAACCTCATCCCCCATGATACATCTCCTCCAATAAAGCCACCCCTTCTAATCCTTCCCAAACAGTTCCACTAACTGGGTGCCAGGCATTCAAACATATGAGCCTATGAGGGCCATTCAAATCACCAAACATACCTCACAAGAAAGCATACTCAACACCATTAAGAACTGTGCCATTAGAAATAACTGATGATCGCTTATAAGATCATGATACACAGCAAAACAGACACATACCACGTGTCAGGGGATTTTCACCTTAATACCTCTTTCCTCGAGACAAATTGCGCAGAAGTACAAATGTCTTAAAACTGAGAAATAATTATCACCACACACATTTTTTAAAATTTATTATGTCTATAATGCTTAGAGAGCAAACAGGACATAGTCTCACACAGATAGGAAAACTGAAATGGGAAGGTTTCTGGCTAGAGCTCATGTATTCTGTATACACCTAGGACCTGGTTCTCCTTTTCTCTTAGAGCACTTCTGTGTCCATGAGTACATGAAGAAAGAATTTCATTTCTTTCCATGGAAACAGAATTTCCAAACTCAAAGTCAAAAGCTCCTTTTGCTCAAATATAAATAAAATAAATATGTATTGAAGAAGTTTTCCTCTTCTCCAAGGGAAATTTTCTGATTTAGCTCTAGCTTCCTGGAAGAGCTTGCTGTTCTGAGTCCTCCTGTGAAAATGTACTTGCTCAGAACCCTTGACAGACTCTCAGTGGCATCAGTGCAGGGAAAATACCAGATTCCCCTGGGAGAGAGTCTCCAGGTTCATACTCAGGGGTCTCCCACGCCGCTCTGCTTATCCCTATGCATGTCAGCCCAAGAGGTGTAGTTGTAATTCTCACGGATGCACTCCAATGCCCTTTACAAGAAACATGATCAAACATGGGGTATGCATTATCCCTGCTCACTCCAGGTCAACGGGTGGTTAAACTGACAAAGCTTCATGGAGCACACCGCCACTTATTTTAAACTCAGCCACATGCAGCTGCTGTTAGGAACCCAGAGGTCTAACCACAAGTCGCTATCCATGTGTCTACAAACCATTTTTGTGAATTTTTGCAGCCATAGGCACACTCATAAATATAGAAGAAAGAATGAGCTATAAGAGATAGTTTACTATAAGTCATTTATATAAAGTTACACGTATGTGGAATTTTTCATAATTTTTTAGCCAGAGAGATTTTTGGTTACTTGAGGTTTTTGTTTGTTTGTTTGTTTGTTTGTTTGTTTGGTTGGTTGGTTGGTTTTTTTATCTCTCAGGGTAGGAGAGAGGACTCAGCAAGCTTGTGATTAAGCCTGAAGATCTGAGTTCTATCCCTAGAACCCATAGCAGGGGGAAAGCATTGATACCCAAAATTTTTTCTTCTTCATGCATACATACAAGCACACAGACTCTAAACCAATAAACTTCCACTAAAATTAACCTTAGGTGGTATTTCACACGAGCTTTATGCACACAAACTGTCTCAATGTGTGGTTCGCTGTTCATTTGCAGGCATGACTGGGACCCTCCAGACAGAAAGGTGGACACCAGAAAATTTCGATCGGAGCCAAGGAGCATTTTTGAATATGAACCTGGGAAATCATCCATTCTGCAGCACGAAAGACCCGTAAGCACTTGTCATTGATCAAAAAGCCAGCTTGCTAGGTCACAGGGGTTCCCAAGGAAACCTGAATCTCACCCCATTTCATTTATTTGACATTCCTGAGAAGTCGTGTTTATTTTTAATCACAATTTATGTTATCTTGTCTCTGAATTGAAAGAGTAGCACTTGAGTAGCACATATATGCAAGACTTATTGTCATTAGCTTACAGCTAGCTGTGCCTAATCATGACACTCATACATGAAACGCTTAATAGATATCCTAGCTTACGAGTGAGAAAAAAAGAAAAAAACATGAATCCATACCCTCGATATACAGACCCAGGCAGATGAATCCCTTGACCTCAATGTTGGTTTCCTACTGTTGCTTGCACTTAAGAGAAAATTTCCCCAAACATACTTCCTATAACAAGTTGTTTAGTTGGTTTTTATTAAATGCCTCCCAGGTTACCAACCCTCAAGCTTCCTGACTGATTACCACCTTGATAGACCAAGCTTGTATTTCTCTTTATAGTCTTTTTTGTCTATTTTAGTCACACACACACACACACACACACACACACACACACACACACTAAGCAATGTAGGAACGTGAAAAAGACCACTTGCCTCCACTAGAGCTACCGACAGCTTCTCCCCTGGCCCTCTTCCCTTTGAGTCCTCTCATCGTGATTTGCTTCCCTTGTTTTTCTGTCAGAGATCAGTGTCCTCAAGACCTCTTTAAAACTCAGCCATTCCTCGGTAGGTCCTAACTTGCTTCCAGATAAGCCCTGTTGGTATTTGCTTTGTGAGCTCCTCCAGAGGCGCAGAGCGCCACACTCTTACATAGACTGCAAGATCAGCCCTGACATTTAGTTGGACAGCCTGTGACCTCACCACACCCAACATGAGTGTCCTTGATTTAGAGTTTGAAACCCTGTGATTTGTGGTTGTGTTCTTGAGAGGTATGTCAAAAAATCTTCCGATCACATAATTCAACTGCCTTTCTTCAAATAATTCAAATTTCTTTGCATGTTAAGATTACAACAGAGAAACTAGGGGGTAGGGTATTATTGATTCCAGGCTCTGAATTATAACCCATTAATTAAGTTGTCTGACTGAATGTGGAGAAAGTGCAATCTCTAAGCCAAAATTCAATGGAAAAACAATATGACTTCTGAAAAAAAATTCCACAAAATAATGAATATCATATTAAATTATAATAGAGACGCTCTAATGGTCATTCTGATGAGTTATGAGGCTCTTGGGATGATGATGTGACTGAAGATAAGAAACCTCTTATGTGGCTAAAATGGAAGTCCATTTAAAGAAATCTCCCCGTTGGAGCTCACTTATGGGGCCCCCTCATTGTGGCTGAGATGGCTACAAGCCTTTGGGCGCAAGCTTTGAAGGCTCTCTGTTTTAAAGTAGCAATAACAGTGATAGAAATAACAATAGCTGTGAGTACCTACTGCACGCCAGACTCTAGATTTAGTAATAATCTCTTTATCTCGTGTAGCTTTCCAAGCAGACACACAGACTTCCTGCCTTACAGGTCAAGAGGCTGAAGCAGCATTAACTGGATGCTGTGTGGCATTCGCTGCAACCAGCTGAGCCTCCGCAAACTTTTGCTTGATGCACTTCGCTTCTGTGCCAGCTGCTTTGATGTGCTTTATCACTACTCTGTGAAGTGCAGGGAGCCTTTAGCTAGTACTCCCCATCACCACAATTTATTTGATTGTTTTAAGTGGATAGTATAATAAGTGGCTAACTTATAATAAGTTCGTATTACTTACTGGCTTTACCAGAAAGCTGGGTTTGGGGTAACTATAATGCAAGACCAGTATTCCTGGCTGGTCTAAGAAGCCATGGGCATGGTCAGAGATTCTGCTGTGGCAAAATCTCTTCAGCCACAGGAAAAGATGAAAGGAAGCAACTAGTAACTTGGAAGGAAATGAGAATGGAAGGCTTACATTTTTATCCCTCCTAAACAATTTTGTTGGGAGCCAGTTTTTTGTGACAAAAGATATGAGTCAAAGATATAATTTTGGCCAAGCTTTGTTAAATTATTGTTATTATAGAGTGAGATTATTACCTTTAAAAAAAAAGTCAATCCTGAATTTATCCCACTTTAAATTGGGGGGGGGGGGAGGCTGATTAGTCAGGGCTGTTCAGGACCAGCCAAGTGTCTTGAAGGCTCAGACTGTAGAAAAAGAGGGTGCGTGACTGTAATCCCAGTGCTCGGGGAGGCAGAGGCAGGCAGATCTCTGTGAGTTCTAGGCCAGCCTGGTCTACAAAATGAGTTCAGTACACCCAAGGCTACACAGAAAAAAACCTGTCTTGAAAAACCAAAAGAGAGAGAGAGAGAGAGAGAGAGAGAGAGAGAGAGAGAGAGAGAGAAAGGGAGCTTACTAAGAGTGGCATCCCATCCAGTGGATTTCAAGGCCTTGTGAATGCATCTTTTGACTTCTTACCCAGGGGTATTTTGAGAGCATCCCTTTGTTCAGTTCTAATTTTTGAAAATCATAGACAGCAGCTAAGCAATTCTATGCTATTCTCCTCGATTTCCAGATAAGCCTGTCACCTTCCCTCACTGTTTCTTGAGTCCCCCTCACTATTTATGAACTTGAGTTCTTACTCACAAGAGAAATGTCATGGCTCTTCCAGTCCACAGTCGTCTGTTGTCTGGGTTACCATGACACATACATTTCCCTGATTAATGAATCCAATCTCCAAACAGTTTTTTTTTTTTAAATCCTGTAAATCCTAAATGTTCTCCTGACTCTCTCTTGTCCCTGGAACAGAATCTAATTCCCTTGATACAATTTCCAAAGACTGAAAAACAACAAATAAAACCTACCAAAATCCGGTGATTTCCCCCACCACACACACACCTCCCAGCCATACAGAGAGCTTGCAGTCCCTTCTATTCAGACCTTCGCATGGTCCGTTCTTTCTCCCAGGGAAGCATGCCTCACCCCCTCTTCCTTCATGTGGAAATTTACACGCTCAGATCACCAAGTTTATCAGAGGCCCATTTCTTCTAGGGGCTTGCTCTCTCCTTTTCTCCCCTCCCCCCGCCCCGCCTCCAGGTTTATCACTTCCCCTAGTGGCTTGTTCCCCCTCAGCAGTGGGTTTGTATCTCTCTTTGTTAAGACACCTGCAGTTCCCACTTTGACATCCTTTCTGCAGCCTGTTCACTCGTCTGAGTTCCTCACTGTACGTTACACTCCTTGGAAGCAGGTACCTTGTCTGACATAGCATTATCTAATCCTCCAACTCGGTGCCTGGCATGTGTGCCTCTGCAGTCAGTACTCCCTGAGTGACTAAAAGAATGGGAACCAATGTTAGCTTTGTAGATGATGGATAAAGTTGGCGAGAGACTGAATCTATGAGGCCCAGTGAGTCTCCATCAAGGCACAGAGATGGAATACACAAAGAACTCTAGCTCAGCTTCCATGAGGGAATACTTCTGCTTAAACAGAAATCCTCAAATTCTGGGGGAGAAAAGGTTGCCTTCATCCTTAATATTGAAGGGAGATAGATAGATAGATAGATAGATAGATAGATAGATAGATAGATAGATAGATACAGAGAGATAGAAATGAAGGCACTTTATATATTTCTAAACAGGAAGCAAAAAGGAAATGCATTTCTTTAAAGCTCATAAATATTTATTTGACTATAAATTTCAATGCTGACTAAATGAGCCTAATGTGTAGCCCAGCAAAGGCCTTGCAATCACAAGAAATTTGTTTTTAACTGACTTGATCCACAGATTAGACTACATTTTCAGTTTACAGACTCCATATAGCAATCACAGCAACTCTCCTGGGATAATATTAATAAAAGCGTAATGGATGATCTGAATTGGACACACCTGTAGATAAGCCACATTGTTATTACGCTTAATAAAAAAAAAATACGTAAAGACATCATTACCTTACATACAATAACTATGGTTACACATGATAGTAGATAAAGGGAGCACACACTGGATGCGTTGAAATGCAATCTAAACCACCAGCGAATATGGTTTATCCACAAAAATCACAAAGAGTTAAAGAAGCTATGAAAATCTGAGAAGTTGTATTTACTAAGCTGTATTCTACTATGAAGACAAATAGATGAAAAGCATGCTGTGAAGCTTAAAAGCCAAAGAGCAAATCCATGTGTATCAGTAGATACACAGAAAGGGTGTGCCCAGTGAGAAGACTGGGGAGAGGAGAGTTTCCCTAACCTCAAACGTAGCGAAAGGCGTTTAGGTTGGAACTTCAAAAATTATTCATTCTATGGAATTGTGAAGGACAGTCACACCTAAGCTCCAGTCTTAGCATATCTCAAGCTCTTCTCACACCAGAAACACACGATTTGTGCTAGCACAAGGTTGCTAGGTTTGTAAAACTGACAGAAACAAAACAAGGTGAGAGAGCTGTCCATCAGAGGTTTGCTCGCCTGCCATCGTGAGAATTACATTTGTAGGTTAACTGTCTCCTAGTGGATTCCTAAGTGTTCGGATTCACAGGGAACAAAGTGGAGTCTCTGATGTGAGGGAGATGATGGCATGGTAACAGCATTCATTTGCATATGCTTCAGTTGTCTGCGTGCGTTGAGTGTTGTAGTGTTTCTGTGGACCTTAGCAGCAGCTCCGGATTGCTACAGGACACATTGGATGTTATTGTGTAACTATAGGAATTCCATAGGTCAGCCACAGCAAAGAGACGATTCAAGTTCTGGCATGTCATGGGGGGGGGGGGTAGCTGTTTGTTGGTGATTTTGATGATGCTGTTTTCTTTTGAGACAAGGTCTTTCTATGTCGCCCAGGCTGATTTCAAACTCTTTCCCCCTGCCTCTTGGGTGCCTGTAACTCCAGTGTGTCCCAGCCACCACACCCAGCCTGCAAATCAAAGGCTCTGCCCCAACCTGTGCCAGTCACTGCATCCCAGAACTACTGAGGATAACTTGTCACTGTTTGAGGGACTTTCTGTCTTATGTTTGTTTTGCACAGATTCAAGCAAGTTGCTCACTGTGACTATAGACTGAAGCTTTAATAAATAGTACAAACCGTGACGGTTCTATTTATTAAAATTGCCATTTTCAGGTTTGGAGCAGAATAATCTTCCCCTTTCCCCAGAAATGTGTCTCCACCAAGGAGAATGTGATCTGTCCATTGTAGGGCTTCTTTTTTATTGTTGCATTTTATTCACTTTGTATCCCTGCTGTAGCCTCCTCCTCGCCTCCCCCTATGCCCCACCCACCCTCCCTCTTTATCCCCTGTGCTCCACCCACCCTCCTTCTCCCCCTATGCCCCACACACCCTCCCTCTTCTCCCCCTATGCCCTACCCACCCTCCCTCTTCTCCCCCTATGCCCTTTCCCGAATCCATAGGTTTTCTTTTATGTCAAGGTGAAGTTAAAAAGGCTGTTTTCCTACTTGTTTTAGTAAGTTTGCTGCCCCCCTACCGTTCATAGTGTTTTGGATTAATAAAATGCTTATTGATGTAATGACAATGAAACATTTCAATAAGCTCATGACATAATAGTGGCTTTTTTTTTTTTTTTGAATGTGGAAATTTCAATGCTCCCAGCACTATACGGTTATAGAGCTACTCAGTGGGAATCCTTGAGCTCCTTAAGAATTCTAAGAGAATAATATGAGATTAAATAGTGGGTGTTTAGCAGCCCTCCTGGGCGGTACTGTAGGCATCGCAGTTTTTCTCTTTGTTGGCACGCACAGCTTTTGGGAAACCAGGTAACTTTCCTTAGAATTTTTTCTGACTTACTAGGTTGTACTGTGCAACTATACACATTTAATTAGGGACCCAGGATATATCAAAGTAGCTGCTGTGGATACAGACAGTACTTTGAACATCGTTTTCTGGAAAAGCAACCAGCATGGCATCATCTAACCTGGTATTTATATTAAAAAATATTAAGCATATCACTGGGTTAAGGAAAGGCTGTATGTCTATGTTCTATATCTAAAGTAATTGTGTTTGTCTCCTCTGAACTGTCTATGTTACCACCCTTAGCATTTCTCTCTTAAATACCATATTCATAAATCACCTGAGATGTAAGTCAGTTACACCCTCCCTCTCCTACTCACTGTCCAAAGCCTGATCCTCCCCACACCCTTTTTTAGATCCAAGTCAGCAGGGGAGATTGAGTGACCGATTTCTGGGAGACTTGTTACCTCTGGATCTTTGCTGTGGTGGACCCTTCTTAAATGTCCTCATCACTGTCACCCCAACCATAGCCCCTTCCTGAAATGTTAGTCTCCATGACTAACCGGCAGCTGGTGTCCTCCAGGTGCCCATCAAGAGCCCCTGTCTAACGAACGAGTGTTTTCCCCACCCCTCTCTCTTACAGCCCCCTCTCCCAACAACTCCGACACCTGTTCCCAGGGAGCCCAGCCGGAAGCCTCTCCCGGTGTCACCCTCCACCGAAGGCCTGCGTAGCCCTTCCCCTCCGCCCAGGAGCCGTGTCCCCGCACCCCGTCCAAGTGCCCCAGCGCTCTCTCCCACCCTGGTGAGCCCCTCCCTTCTTCACCTTCTCTCAGGCTGTGGGGAAGCTGAGCTCAGCCTTGGTTCTGAGGCTAAAGCATGGTCAGATCCCAGTCCCTGCTGGGGTTTTCTTGCTCCCAGACCCCTACTTACCCTCCCCTCCCAGCACCCTCATCTTCACCATTCCATGCTCCCGCCCGCCCCATACGCAAAGTCTAGACATGGCATGCTGCCACTGCCCAGTTGCCAGTGACTTCAGGGACAGTGGACTGGCCAGTCCGGGAGAGCACCTTGGTGCCTCGGTTGGACCTGTCTGGTATGCCTCCCATCCCCACTGTCACTGCCAGGATAGTTTCCCTAGTTCATGCGTCAGGCTAAAGAATGAACTGTGGCGGTGACAGGGACCCCAGTGACACCATGGCCCCTCATTTTCGTATCCTCATTTTGCTCATTGTACTTTACTTCCTCCGTTCTGTCCTGCTAAGGTGTGTTGGATGAGTCCGATGCATGTTTGCGTGTGGGTGCGCGGGAGTCTTCATACCACACAGCGTTTTCCCTCACATCGCTCAGTGTGCTTTTTCCTCCCCTTTTCCTTCACATCTGCTCTAGACGGGTCGCATAAATCCAGATGACATAGATTTAGAAAATGAGCCCTGGTATAAATTCTTTTCAGAGCTGGAGTTTGGACGTCCGGTAAGTGAGGCCAGACAATTCCTATAAGACAAACAGGAGACTGTTGTGTGATTTTTAAAGCCTATTAATTGTCAGAAGGGAGACGTGTGGTGTGGAGAACAAAAGCTGGATGAATAAAATACATTTGGCTCCAGCTTTGTGCAAATTCGCTTTTGTACCAAATGCCTAAACGTGTTCATTCCCATATTTTTTTTTAATTTCCAAATCATGCATTAGAATCACATCTAATTAATTGCAAATCTAGCATGTTGGGGCAGTTTCTGTCTTGGAATATTTAGGTCCATTAGCACAGCTTTAGGGGAGAACTGGATTGTGTAAAGTATCTTTTGGTCTAGTTTAACAGTAACAAGCACATTGCTGTCTACAAGAATGACTGCTACTACAATTCTTGCTTGCTGAGGAATTGTTAGACGCCCTGCAAGGTGCTTAGTTTCCGACTCATTAGCCTGGGGTGTCTTCCTGATGCAAGTCCAGTAACGAGAAAATAGACCAAAGGTCGAAGAGGTTGCCCAAAATAGTCAGAAATTAAACCTAAGCCTGTGTCATACAACAATGAAAATCTTTGGGCAATTTGCACTATAACACATTACTAGAACATTCCCACTGTAAAATGATTCTTTCAATAGGAGAGATATAACAAAGAATTAAGAAGCCCTGTGGACCTTGATTCGTAGTGTTCTTCATGAGCTACCAGCAGATCTCTGATCCCTAGAGTCCCGTGTTGAAAGCCCTCAGTTTGGCCCTCATGGGGTCTGATGGATCTGTGTGGGACAGGGTTAATGAGGGTTTCAAATACTTCTCCAGACTCAACTGAGGAATTGTCTGCGGGGTTCATGTCTGCAACCTGCACTTTACAAACCCTAAACTGTTGGAGAACATGTCATTTATACTGCCCAGCAATTTTATTAGAACTCGGGGTCCTTTTCTTCTTATACCATGGCATGTAAGGCTTTGCAATTATGCCGATCATATATTTCTTACTTATGTACATTGAAACACAGCCTTGGTTAGCCTCGCTCTGTTTTATTGAATTGAATCAAATACGACTGTAAACAAATAGTAAATAAACATCCTGGCATTTCTATTATCTGAGAAGAGGGTTGTTTCCTCCCATTTTTTTTTTTTCTGGTATTTCCTCTTATTATCACAAGTGTATTTTTTTTTCATTTAGGAGAATGCTCTCTTGTTTTTCTTATGTATTTGCTATCGTTGGGTAGAGTTTCTAGAGACTGTACCATTTACTCTGTTGGGCCCAAATGACCAGCACTTTCTGTAATCCTTCTCAGCGACACCAGCATGTTCTCCCCTTAACTCCTCTAATGTTTCCTGAAAATGCCTTGCAATCTGCTGTGGCCAAAGACCGGGAGTGCTGATTTGGATTTGACAAATTGAGTTTACAAATCTACTAACTGAACACGAGCAGCTTTGCGTGGTGCTTGAGAATGTTTAGGGACATTGATTGCACTCTTGCTCGGTGGCTACCATTTTGCTCCGTTCATGTCGCTCTTTATGTGTACCTGATGCTGTCAGCACTCGGTTTCTAACTGTTGTCACTTTTCCACATGTTCATACTTGCTGCCATTGACTCTTCTCCATCCCATCTCTCCACTTCTGCCTCTGTGGTGCATCTACACCCAGCCTCCTAAAAAGGCTCTGGACTATGTTCAAGATCACTCTTCCGGTGTGTCCAATGAGGTAAAGACAAATTCTTCTCTCTTTCCGGGTACCCCCCCTTTGTTGCTGTCAGCCTGAACATCTGTGTTTTTATAGATCACTGTGCTGTACAAGCTGGTTTTGAAAACTCTTGGTGTCACTGTGCTGTGTGTAAAAGCACTGTCTAGATAAGGCAAAGGGGTTGGCTGTTTATGAATTCCAGGTGATAAATCGTTCCAACTGTTACTTCCAGTTAAAATATTCTGCAGCATGAAAATAAAAACCCACATATTAAATGTTGGCAATGTATTAACTATCCATTTTTTTACAAACTAAGCAAAAGTACCTCTAAAAGGCTTCTAGAAGCCAATTTTTCATTGTGCGTAGAGGTACAGACTCAAGAGTTTGATTCTTGGGCCATCGAGGTGACTCACTAGGTGAACGTATTTGTTGCAAAAGCCTAATGACCTTAGATCCCTGGAACCTACCCACTGTGGATGAAGAGAGCATTCCCTCCCATGCTGTGGCAAGTGTGCTTATACCCACACAGACAGAATAATATATATATTAAAAAGCAAAGTTTAGATTCTTATACGATCAGGTACTTATTTATTCTATTTTCCTAAAGGTTATTGTTATGCCTTTGTTTTCCTAAATGCTTGTAGATTTTACCATCAGTCAAGAATAGAGCTGATGAATCCTGGGCATGTGTGTTCCAGTTTCCCAGTTCTACATCCTTGATGGGCATCGCTAATCCTTTTTGGCGTTATAATTCAGGCAGCCACTCCAGCAGATAATCATCACTGCCACGTGGGATAAAACTTAGCTGAGCTCTGCTGAAGAATGCTTATGAATGGGGCCGGAGAGGTTACCCAGTGGTTAAGAGCACTTGCTAATCTCATAGAAGACCTGGCTTTGTTTCCCAGCACCCACATGGCAGCTCACAATCACCCACAACTCCATTTCCAACACCCTCTTCTGGCCTCCACCAGCACCAGGCACACATATGGTGCAGAGGCATGCAGGCAGGCAAAACACTCATGAATTGAAAATAAGAATGGTAATGCTTAGGACATTAGCCAAAGAGCTAGGTGAAGGATTTATGCCAAGCCATGTAAATTTTTACATGGATTTAAAAAAAAAAAAAAAAAGATAGTATGAAAGGGAAAAGAAAGGATCCTAACCCCTCCCCCCAAAAAAAAGGTTATTTTGAAAAGCACTCAGAAGACAGAAGCAGACATGTTATTGTTCTGCTAACTCTCTGGCCCATAGGTCTTCCTGTGGGCAGCCATGATAGAAGCACACAGAATCAAATGATTCCATCACAATATGTGCTGTATGTTCTTAAGTGACTGCAACACTTACTATCTTACCTTCATCATGAAGCCCTCATCCAAGCTATGTGAGCCAAGAACTCACGCTAAGGATGTCATCCCTTAATAGGGATGACAAATAGCAGGCATCATGTTCAAAGGCGGAATACTCAATTTTTGAAAGATTCAATCTGCAATGTCAAGTTTAGATCATGTAATAAGCATCATGGTGTGTGTTAAAACAGGGGAGTGGCTGAAAAAATTATCAAAGAGAAAGTAAAATCTACTAACCAGGAACTTCTTGAGGTACTGAATTCAGTAATTTTCCAAGACTCATATTTTGTAGACAAGCCTGCACTCTAAAGAGAATTAAGTGAAACAAGCAGTTCTATTCTGTATGTTTTTGTTATCATTTCAGCATAGGAACAACCTAGGAATTTATTTTGAAATTCAATCCTGTCAAATATTTTTCTCATGTTTTCCACAATGTAACTATGTCATTGTATGGATGGACTTCCATTAAATTTATAATCCATTTGTGGAGAAGGATAGAAGGATATCTTTATCATATTGAACATTTCTTTCCAATTTTTTAAAAATTCAGTATGATGTGCTTAAATGAATCAACATTTTAAAAAAACAAACATTCCCTCCCCTTGGGTATTTTAAAGCAGGTATTTCTGGATTTTTTTTTATAGTAGTCGGTTCATTGAGAGCTGAAAAGGGATTTAGACAACATAATATTCAATTCATTGGTCTTCTAGTAAGAAAAGTAGAATGGAATAACTGTAAGGAATGTACATATCATTACCTACTAAGATGGCTGCCGAGAGACCAAATCACTAACTGTTCAGCCTCCATTTCAAAGCTGTTTCCTTTAAACCACACTTTTTACCATCTCCAGTAGATGTATTTAAAGCTTGGATCTTCCAGACACTATTTTATTTTAATTAGTGAGTTTGTGTGAAATGGGTTCTGGAAATTAACACTACTCAATAATTACTGAACATGGAGATGGAAAAAGCTTAGGCTGTGGCCAAAATACTACATTAAAAAAGCAGTTTGATAACAGTGGAACTATGTGTTCTTATCTTTTGGGGACTGAGAGGCATGAGTGATTTCAATAGCATGTTAACTAGGGTGCTAACTTAAGAAACTGGCCATTCAGAGTATAAGAAGAGAGAATCTCACAAGTTATTTAGGTTCTGTCTTTAATAATATTTGTATGACATTGCCTAGCAAAAAAAAATGTAAATTATTAGGTAATCCCTAAGCTATCATTTATCAAGTACCTGGTTTTATCACGTATATGTTACAAATGACATAATTTTAAGTCAAATGTAACTAAGACATTTGTTTGCAGATGTCAAAATGAAACTTATACGTTACTAATTTGAAACAAAATTTTTAGAAGAGTAGTTAAGAACTTGTTTACAAAGTTTAATCAGTAATTACTTAGCAGAAAGAATGATTTAATGTCTGCTGGACCTTGAAATAACCTTCGACTGTGTTAAAACAGTGATCACATGCAAATGATGAATAGATGGTGTTGGATAAAATGAGCTAGTTCTTTTCTGGAGGCTCATTTTTTTTTTCCAGGTGAAGTGTCCTAATTATCATACAAAGTTTTGCTTTAATTATTAATCTAAAGTTTTTATTATTTCTTTATAATTGACAACTGAAATTTCTCTTACTCCATAAAATCAAAGCTGGTTTTACTGGCCAGCAAGACGAATCAGCTGTGACTGAGTTTATCCCTAGAACCCATATTGTTTAGGGAGAGAATTGATTTCCTCTAGTTGTCTTCTGACCTCCACACTAGTACCATGGTGTATGCACACACTAAATGTGTGTGTTTTTTAATCCTTTTAAACTGTTTTTTTTTAATCCTTTTAAACTGGTTTCAATTTATTTGGAATATAAAAAAACAGAAAAAGGAAAAATAATTACAGTTTGTCTTAACTCTGAAACATACTTTATCAGTCTCACCCAGTATTTTATTTCATATTATGGTATTTATCCAAGCCTTTCATACTGGGGGCTCTTATTCCTCATCTTCCTAGGGACATTCTGAAAACATCTTGAATCTGACCCTCTCAGTGGTCAACTGTGAATCAGGCTGTCCCATAAAACCCACAACCCATGGACAGTGGTGCTCTGACACTCCCTGAGACCTCTTCTGCAAACATGCAGAATTATCTAACATTCTTTTATTCCTTTTCTTTCTTCCTTATTATGTTTTTCCTACTTTCTTGTGTCCCACTCAGACAAATTCAAATAATCATATAAACTTATCAACACAGAACATTTTTCTACTCCTACATTTGCTGAGAACATAGAAATCTAGGAATTTTCTAAGAAGTACAAATATTAAATATGCTTTTTTCTGTCTAAAATGAAGAAGCAATGTTTTCATGCTAATAGGTGTTTTTGTTTGATTGTGGGTAAGATTCCATTCTCAATCAGTAATAGAGAATTAAAGTGAAATATTAATTATTAGGCTTGTCAAAATGATCTGTGTAAGAATTGTAAAGTTACAACCTAGTATTTTAATTGGGAAACTGATAGTATTTGACAGTTAATGGAAAAGAATAGTAGAAATCACTTATAAAGTGAGATCTTTATTTCACCTAGGTAGGTTTTTAATATTCGGATAAAATATTTCTATATGTAGGAATTTAATATAATATTAATCAACTCTTGCCTTTCTGGCTTACAATTGTAAGCCCTCATATAAACATTTTCAAAATATAATTTCCACTTTTCAACAAACCTGAGTTAGTCGATGGTGATGAATTGAGCAATAAGCATGACCAAAGCCAAAAGTATATCAACCAGACATACGTTTATACTCTATGAGCGTTAAGATCTTATCACAGTGTCCCCTTCAATATTCAGAGATTTGACACCACCCCTCTCTAGTAATCTTGACATTTCAGCAAGTGTCTCAGAAACAGACATGTACAATGGAAGCTTTCTATCTGCTGCTCCTGTCTCGCATCAGTTTTAGAGTGCTGCCCAGAATAAGATGTGTAAAGCATACCCTTTAAAAGAGTGTATGTTGATTTGTTCGGTCATTTATTTTAAACCAATCCTAAACTCAAATTGTTCTAGATTTATAAACCTGTACCTGGCTGGGGTCTCAGGCAACTGAGGGTGATGTCAATTCAAGTTCTTTGAGCTATATGAAAATGGCATGTGCCGTGATAGAAGAAAGACCTATCAAGTTCTGCTTGTGTGCTCTATTTTCAACGTAACACCTGGCAGTAACAATGAAATTATGAAGAGTCTTATGTTTTATAAGGATTTCAAGATGACTGCAAATGTTTTCTCACACAATAAAAGCCAGCCCTTCAAGTAGGAAGCTCCTACTTAGCAGTTGTTGGGAGCCTGAAGTTAATGCTGACGATTTAGCCCTTTAACCCTATGTCAGGTCAGTGTTCCTGATGATAATGTTACTGACTTTTTTTCTTCACGATGAAATGAATGTCTTGGTTGTGTTACCTCACAGAATGCAGCGCAGTCTATTAAGAGAGAACTCAGAGACATGGCATCTCTTTGGAAAAACATTTCTGTAATCACAACAAATTATTCTTTTGATTGCAATATTTAGAGTATGCTTTTTAGAATGCAAAACTCAATGGTGACAAACAAATGAAATTGCTATGGTCATTCTTTTCCTGAGAACACTATTCTATCTTAACAGGCTTCCATCTATCAGGCCTCCATAGACAGAAGCCTGGAAAGACCCAGCAGGTAAGGATTTGATAACATAACTCCAACACAGTATTCCAGGCCAGAGGTTACTTTCTCAATAGTCATCTTCCCTGATAAAATACTGACGAAGATCATTTAACTCTCATTCTTATCTTAAGTACCAAACCTTATGGTATGTAGCATGTATCCAATCATTTATGAATGTTTCTTTTAAATGATACCCTACTCAAAACTATGATCAGAAAGCGTTCCTTTCTTTATAAATCATTTTCCACAACTGTGTAAAAGGGATTGTTAACAGTTTACTTGCTGATTAGATTTTTAATCACTCATTATTTTAATAGACAATACTGGAATTCCCGTCAAACATTCTTCTGAATAAATTAGGAAAGCAAACAATAATCCTTAAGGTAAAAGAGAATCGTTTTGCTAGATGGCTTCCTTTTACATGGTCCTTTATTCTACTTTTTTCTCCTTTATTCTATCTTTTTCTCGATAGATTCATGTTGTCAGAACTCTTTCTTTACACATAAAATTGAATTATACAAATAGAAATCATAACACTGAATTACCAAAAACAACAAGTTCCCTGCAGGGGAATGTGAACTTTAAAAGGTGATTGTAAACACATGGGGTGAGAGGGGGGGAGGTGCAACCTGCATTTGTATGTTTGCAGCAATTTTTTTTTTTCAAAATTGCCAAGCCCTAGAGTCCATGAAGATGTTATTCCTTAGGTAAGTAAGTGAACAAACTGTGGTGCATCTATATAACAGAATATTAGTCGTCAATAAAAAGGAATAAGCTATCAAGTGACGAGAAGACATGGAGAAAGCTGGAGACGCGGTGCGGTTGGTAGAGTGCTTATCTAGCATGCCTGAAACCTTGGTTCAGTCTTCAAGGTCACATTCAAAATTAGGCACGGTGAGACAGGGCTGTGATCTCAGCCCCTGGTAAGCAGTGACAGAATAGTCAGAAATTTGAGGTCGTCCTTGGCTGCATAGTGACTTTGAAGCCAGCCAGGATGACATGAAATGATTTTACAAGGTAAAAAAAAAAAAAAAAAAAAAAAATTAAAGAGTATTAATTTTAGTGTGTGTGTGTGTGTGTGTGAGAGAGAGAGAGAGAGAGAGAGAGAGAGAGAGAGAGAGTGCATGCCTGAGTGCATGGGTGTACCCCAGTTGCATGCAGGTGTCCATGGATGTAGGAGGAGGGCATGAGATCCCATGGAACTGGATCAGATAGTGGTGACAAAATATATAAAAACCTGCCACCTGTGGGTACTGGGATTGAGCCATCTCTCCAGCCCCTCAAAATATTTTTTAAAGGACATGGATTTAAAAAAAAAAAAAGCTTATTACTAAATGGAAAAAATCAATCTGAAAAGATTGCATAGTGTCTAATTCTAACTGTGTAACATTTGGAGGAGGTGACTATGGAGACAAGAGCTATGGTTCCTAGGAAACATGAAGACAAAGGGACAGATTAGAAAATGGTATCCAAAGGATCTTTTGTGGGAGTAAAAGTATTCTACAAGGCACGTTCATGATGAACATATTTCATTACACATTTATAAACCCCCTATAGTATGTCACAGATATCCTGAACCCCTTAAAAATATATAAAAATAGACTTTCAGAGAAGACATGTCCAGATAGGGTGATTAGCTGTCATAAATGTCCAAGAATATGTAAAGATAATGATGCTAAAGAAGAAAGGGGTGGGCAGAGAGGAACTCTCTGCTCAACTGTCTTTTGAGCTCTGCAGAGAATTGGTTCCTAGGTCTCACCAAGGATACTGAAATCTACTGACTCTGAAGTATCATATATAGATGGCATAACACTTAAAGATAACTTATTCTTAGTCTCCCAGATGCTCTGAAATATGCATAATGCCTCATGCAACACAAATACTGTTTTTAAAAAGTGGGGGTAGATTGTTGGGGCTACAGAAGGGCTTCAGGGTATAAGAGCACTTGCTGCTCTTAGAGTTGTCCCAGTCTCTAGCCCCCACATGACAGTTCACAGCCATCTGTAGCTCTAGTTCAGGGCATCCTATGCTCTCTTCTGACCTCCAAGGCTGCCAGGCGTTCAGTGTGGTTCACAGACATAAATGCAGGCAAAACACTCATATACATAAACGAAAAATGAGCAAATCTTAAATAAGTACATGTTATAATAGATCACTTAGGAAATAATAACAAACATTTGTACATGTTAGGTAGCAGTCCAAGTCCTCATGTTCCCTGTACACAGTTGCTTGAACCTTTGGATATGAAGAACCTGTACAGTTCAGTTAGATATTCTGTAACTTGAAACTTCCCTTTAAGAATGAGATCTGTGCATCTTTAAAAAGATGATTCTAAAGAAAGTATCTTTGAGTGTGAAGAAATACATCTCTTACTATGCAGCCTTGTGAGCGTGAGGTTGGGTGTTAGGCCATTATCTACTGTAATTATCAGCTTTCTTGTGCATGTGCTAACCTCTCCAACCAAAGTGACACTGATTCCATCTGTCAGTTCTGCAAGCATGGCCGGTGACTTTAGGAAGCGGAGGAAGAGCGAACCTGCAGTGGGCCCACCCAGAGGCTTGGGGGATGCGAGTGCAAGCAGGGCCAGCCCTGGCCGGGCAGACCTCCCAGGATCAAGCTCCCCCTTCACGAAGTCTTTCATTAGTTCTTCTCCTTCATCTCCCTCAAGAGCGCAAGGTGAGCAAAGATAAAGGAACACAGCTTGCTAGTTCACAACTTAGCCAGACCACAGGAGAGGGCCAATCTCATGACCGTGACTTGTGCTGCTCTTACTTGTAGGGTTCTCAAGCAAATACAGTTGCCTAGCAAAGCCCTTATTCCTACTCAGTCCAGTTCAAACCAGCAAGCCACTTGAATATCTTAAAGAACTCAGACTGAGCCAGGCAGTGATGGCTCATACCTTCAATCCCAGCACTCAGGAGTTTGAGGCCACCCTGGTCTATAGAATGAGATCCATGATAACCAAGACAAAATAGAGAAACTCTGTCTGGAAACAAACAAAACAAACAAACAAACAAACAATAGCCAACTCAGACTAATGTTTATAACTATTTTCACAAAAGTAGATTGGATTTATTATTTTTAAAGTATTAAATAATTTGTCATATTTACAGAAATGGCATTTATATGCTTTGACCTAGTCAAATTATCTAATGTTATTATAGATAACTAATTAAATTTGTAGAATGAGAAGTACATATAGCAACGGAAAAATACCGCTTAAAACATGCACTGGGATACTTTAAATTCCGGTACCTAAATTATCAATTAAAGTCATGCCTTTCGTCACTTACTCTATTTTCTTCCACCCTCACTTGTGCGGTAGAGACCATGTACGTGCAGCCATGTAACGCAATCATCCACAAAGTTTTTATAATAAGTGCATACTGACTTTAAAGCCACAAATTCAAGATCTAGGAAGGAGAGGCCTCAATGAGATGGCTCAGTGGATAAAGGCACTTGAGAGCAAGCCTGACAATCTGAGTGTGACCATCACAAATCGTATAAGAGGAGAGAAGAGACACCCCGCAAATTGCCCTCTGACCTCTTCCTGTGTGTACGCATATGTAAGAGAGAGAAGGAAAAAAGAAGGGAAGGGAGAGAGGCTGGCCACTTTTTCAGATGGATTGTCTCCTCCTTAGACACACAATAAGCTAATCATTGGAGGGACAGAGTTACTCAGATGGGTCTCTGCAGATTACTTGGGTTTCTTTCTTTCTTTCTTTTTTTCTTTCTTTCTTTCTTTCTTTCTTTCATCTATTGACCCAGTAGCATGGGGCCGCATGATTCCCTCCACTCTTAGGAAGAGAATGGGTGGTTAAAACATGAAAAGTAAATGAGTTGTAACAGAAGTGTTCATAAAGTAGGGCAGAGCCGGGGCACATAACAACTGTATACACTAAAACTGTTGCCACGCAGTGGCTAAAGCCAAGCGGTGGCTGGTTTCTGTACACAAGACAGACTGTTTATGATGACTGGTCTCTGTGTAGGTGGGTGCCTGGCCTGTCTAAGACGTAACTAACTCACAGAGTAATTTCCTCATTAAGTAACTAATAGCCTTCATCACGTTCTACTCCTCCTCACAAGCAAATGTCCTAAGTAACAAGTCAGCCATGAAATGCCATGGATCCATCATTCTCAGATTCAATACACGATGTAAAAGGATCCTGATAGAGTTAAGTATTTCTCTTATCATAGAGAGTTTGCTCAACTTCCTTTGCCAAGCATTACATATCAACTGAATGAATTACCGATTTTTTAAGAACTCGGGAGAGATCATAATGAGTAAATTGTTAATAGAGTGCCATACTGTTAGCTTAATAGGTAAGAGTTATGGTTTAGGCATGCCTTGCTGGCTGAAAGGCAATTGAATTGTGCAGTAGAAATGTGTTAGCCACACCAGTGTATTTCATGTATGACTCCGTTCGCTGGTGTCTACAAAGCTGCACTGCAGTAAGCATTCCTCTGACATCGAAGCTATGTGTGTGAAGGTGTCTATATTAAAGCCACGCTAACTGCCTTCTCTTTGCTGTGCTAATACTGACATGCTCTCCTCTCTTTGTGAACCTTTTAATTTCTCTAAATGTCTTTCTCCTGCCATGCTGCTCTGGACTGAAAGGTCGGGAGGAGAGCAAAATGTGCCCATCCCCTTGCAGTTACTCAGGGCTCAATGGCGCCCACTCTGGTGAGTTAGAGTGTTGTAGCGCTTATAGACAGCATTTGGACGTCCCCAGGGACTCTCAAAGAGCCATCACTTTCAAGAATGGCTGGCAAATGGCCCGGCAAAATGCAGAGATCTGGAGCAGCACTGAAGAGACTGTTTCCCCCAAAATCAAATCACGTAGCTGCGATGACCTTCTCAATGATGACTGCGACAGCTTCCCAGACCCTAAAACCAAGTCAGAAAGTATGGGCTCTCTGTTATGTGACGAAGACTCCAAAGAGAGCTGCCCCATGGCCTGGACCTCCCCCTACATCCAGGAAGTGTGCGGTAACAGCAGATCCAGGACCAAACATAGGTCAGCCCATAACGCCCCGGACTTCCTCAAAATGTACAAGAAGATGCACCGCATCAACCGCAAGGATTTGATGAATCCCGAGGTCATTTGCTCCGTGAAATCCAGGATCCTGCAGTATGAAAAGGAGCAACAGCACAGGGCTCTGCTCCACGGGTGGAGCCAGTCCTCCACGGAGGAGGTGCCCAGGGACGTGGTACCCACTCGTATTTCGGAATTCGAAAAGCTGATCCAGAAGTCCAAGTCCATGCCCAATCTCGGAGATGAAATGTTATCTCCCGTTACCCTGGAAGCCCAACAAAACGGCTTGTGTCCCAAGAGGCGATTTTCCATTGAGTCTCTGCTGGAGGAAGAGACTCAGAGTAGACACCCTTCTCAGGCTCAGCGAAGCTGCAAGTCTAAAGCCCTGGTGCCCATCCACATCGAAGTCACCAGCGACGAGCAGCCTAGAACGCACACGGAGTTCTCCGACAGCGACCAAGATGGGGTGGTGTCCGACCACAGCGACTACGTCCATGTAGAGGGCTCGTCCTTTTGCAGCGAAAGTGACTTCGACCACTTCTCCTTCACCTCCTCTGAGAGTTTCTATGGCTCCAGCCACCACCACCACCACCACCACCACCACCATCACCACCACCGACACCTCATCAGTTCCTGCAAGGGCCGATGCCCAGCCTCTTACACTCGCTTTACCACGATGCTAAGACACGAAAGAGCTAAGCACGAAAATATCGACCAGCCCAGGAGGCAGGACATGGATCCCGGCCTGTCTAAGCTCGCATTTCTAGTCAGCCCCGTGCCTTTCCGGAGGAAAAAAATCGTGACCCCCAAGAAACAGACTGAACAGGCAAGATGCAAAACCTCTGTAGTTGAGGCTCTGGACTCGGCCCTTAAAGACATCTGTGACCAGATAAAAGCCGAAAAGAGGAGAGGGAGCCTGCCGGACAACAGTATATTGCACAGGCTTATCAGTGAGCTGCTGCCAGAGATTCCCGAGAGGAACTCGTCTCTTAATGCTCTAAGGAGGAGCCCCGTGCCCCAGCCTTTCCACCCACTGCCTCAAGACGGTGCTATTCATTGTCCACTGTACCAAAACGACTGTGGGAGAATGCCTCACAGTGCCTCTTTCCCAGACGTGGACGCAACCAACAGCAACTACCATGCCCAGGATTATGGTAGCACACTGAGCCTCCAAGGTGGACGAGCTTTTCTTTCTTCTTTTCCCTGTGGTTCAGATGCCATCCTTCCATATGCTCATTTTTCCCATCGTGCATTTCATCGCTCTTGGGCTGTGATGCCATGTGACGTCATTATGTGTTGAGGGGCAAACCCGTGTGTACAGACATGTCGGTAGTTCTCATTCGCCTGTGTGTTATTTGACATTCATGTGTTGGCTGGAAGTAACCATCAATTCACAAGCAGTTACTTAAACATAAAAGTAAACTCAATTTATATATATATATATATATATATATATATATATATATATATATATATATATATATATATATATATTAGGGTTAAAATGAGTAGGACATTGAAAAAAAAATGTAATGATGAATCTCCACATACTTAAGGTTATGTTTCCTTGCATTGAAGCTATGCAGTGTGCTTTGCAAATAGTAGATTAGAATGTTTTTAAAAGCAGGTTCTACCAGTTGGAAACTTTCAGATCTAGAAATGCCAGACAGTCCTGATGAGATTTGACAGGCTATAGGCCCTTTCAGTGGACGAGGGGTAAGGGGTGGAGGGAAGAGGAAGGGGGGGTGGGAATGGGAGTAGTTAAAGGAGGGAGCTTCAATTGGGATATATAATGAATAAATTGTGAAGGAAAAAATTAAAATTAAAAAAGTAAATTCTTCAGTATGTCATGAACAGATTTAATAAAAAAAAATGATATTGAAAAAAAAAGAAGAAGAAATGCCAGAATCCAATTTTCTGGCAAAATATTCATTTTCTTCAGTTACCTAAAATCCTGAAATAATCACTTCTTAAAATCAAAAGAATATATCAAGAAAAAACAACTATAATTTAATATATGTATCCCTAGGATATCTTTTGGCTCATTATGAGCCAACACTAGCAGTTTCACAGCCTTTTCTTTGAGTTCCATATTAACATTAGAACACTCTACCTGTTCATTCAAAGAAGCCTGTTCCGACTCAACCTACATGGAAAATGCAACAATCAGTCAGCAAAACTGAATGTGCGATAAACAATAAATGAATTATTAAAGGTATTAAAAGTTATTTAGTAGCTTCCATTTGTAGGACACAATTCGGATGGAATTTTGTAAATGTATCTTTAAGATATGGGTATGATTCTTCCATTCAAGGCATTCGTTTTCTCCTTTCTATTCTTTGACCTATTTCTGTTAACACAAACATATGCTGACCTGTGAACTGAATTGGACAACAGCACAGAGACAAATGACAGTTCTAATGCTGAGGGGTTTACTGAGGTTGGCACGACTTAAACCAGTGCACCCATTCTCAAAGGAAGATGTGACATACACATCAGGAGCCCAGAGTGAATACTCCAGGCTCAGGGACGGGCTGAGTGTAGAGAAGCTTTATATCCTAGCCCCACAGAGAGCTTTAGCTAAATGCATCGTCTAACTGAATCTACCGTATGTCAGTGGGAGGGCGTTATTGTAAGTGCTGCTTTACAGTTGAGAAACTGAGGGACAAGGAGGACATTTCTCAGTGTTATACAGATTACAGTAATAGCAAGAGAATTCGAAGCCCTACACTGAGGATTTCAGCCTGATTAATTGGCAATATAATAACAATATTGTATAAATGATTATACTTGTGTTATTTGTGTATTTTTTTTCATTTGCAGTATGTCTGTGTTGTATATCATTACTTTACAGTTACTTATGAGTTTTACATCCATGTTCTCATTAGTGACATCTCTATAAATTTGGGGGTGAAGGAATTGCCGCCAGGGAAAGTGGCTGGCCAGTCTCCTTTCAATGAAGTGAAATCTCACTCCTGTTCACCTTACCCTTTCCAATAGATCATGAGTCCACTAGAAGTTACTCATCTACTTTTACTGACTTGGGAAGAAGTACATCGCGGGAACGAAGAGGAACCCCAGAAAAAGAGGTAATTAGCTCAACAGTACCAGAGTGTTTTTAAAGGACCTTCTGAAAAAGCGCCTACTGGTCAGATGTCTGCCTCAAGCCAGTAAAGATTTGAGACAAAAATCCGACAGCAGCAAGAGTCTAGAAGCAGTTCTGCAGAGAGACTGAGTCTAGGACCTGAGGTCTAGTCATTTCCTACCTGGAATGCATGTTGGGCAGTGGGGCTTTCTGAGTCTTGACCTGGTACCCATGAACTAACAGAGTTCTAATTGACCTGCTTTGTGGAGGGGTTGGGGTTGTCTACGAGTATTTTTGTTAAAGAACACTCCTGATAATAGATTTTATCCACTAGGTTCTTGTAGGACAGAGTTCTTATACAGCATTGACTCCTGGCCCATCACCCTAAATCACATCAGGAACACTTCTTTCTAACCATACTGGAAGCCATAGGGCTTGATGGAGACTAAAAACTAAGCTTTGAGTAACAGGGATAGCCCCTGGGACCCCTATGAAGTCAGAAATTGCCCAAGTTTCTCAAAGCTCACTAGAATCACAGGAGAAGAAAAATTAGGTGAAGGCATTAATGGTTGGCAGGAAAGGAAGATCTGCTGTCACTAGCTAGATGGTATGGAGTACTTTAAGAAGATCAGGGGACCCAAGAGTTTAAGGGTACGCAAGAGTAGGACTTCATAACTAAAAGGTAAGCCAAAGGATTCTGGAACCCTCTATCCCTTTATTTATTTTTTTATTTATTTATTTTTTATTTTTTTTATTTTTTTTTATTTTTTTTTTTATTTTTTTGCTAACTAACCTCTTCGTAACTGGGTTACTACTTGGATAATCAGTGAAGAATGTGATAACTCTGTAGCTTTTGTTTGTTTGTGATTCCGATAGACTACTTTCAACCCATAGAAGTCAGAGTAGCTGGCCCTCCGCAATTGTCTGTTTGTGGTATTCAAAAAGAACATGCCCAGTACAGAATCCTTGGTGGGTGTTTTATTGTATGATGGCACTAACCTACTTTAGTTCCTAAAATGAAACCTGATGCGGAAATCAGCTACTATATTTAGCTCACTAGTCTAAAGGTAGCCCTAACTGATACATTTGTAACTTCCATGTATCGCATTATATGTGTTTCATTGTTCTTAGGGAAAACTAAAATGTTTAAACTAGTGCTGAATGTTTACCTTTTGTTTCAGAAATTGCCTGCAAAAGCAGTCTACGATTTCAAAGCTCAGACATCTAAGTAAGTGGCATAAAAACTCACCATGTTTGAATTTTATTTTTATTATTTTTGGGGAGGAATATATGTGTGTGCTTGTGTCAATGAAATGTGTTACAAATAGGACTCAATTCTCAGTTCTAATTGGCTAGTTCCTTTAAAATTCCTAGCTAGGAGAGGATAACTTATTTTCACATTCAGTTGTGAACTGCTGAGTCTTAAAACACATAAGTGATGCTAATGAAGCACAATGAATTGAGAGGAACAGGGAAACAATAAGAAATGAAAAATATTTTTCTAGAATTTCTTTCTGTCAAGAATTAAATTTTTAAAAAGTGATAGGGAGTAATTATCCCTACCTAGTGAGGGGAACTTGACAGTATTTATTTGTTTGGCTACATCAAGGGCAGTAGTACATGGGCAGACTCCATACCTGCACACAGAGGACCCTGTAATGAAAGCGTCATCTCCCAGCACTCAGAGCGTAGGGCTTCTAAGGAACCCCTGTTCCTGCCCTGTGGTCCTTGACTGCTGATGCTTTCCTAGTCCCGTGTTACATTCTTTTGGCTGGTTTCTTTCATTATTGTGATTATTACTATTATTATTATTATTTACAATTTATTCACTTTGTTTATACAAAGTGAATAAATCCTCCCAATCCCACCACCCTCCTTCCCGCCACCTCCCCTATCCCTCTTCCCTAGTCCACAGATAGGGGAAGTCCTCTTACCCTACTAGCTGACCCTAGCCTATCAGGCCCCATCAGGACTACCTCCAAGTTGTCTTCTGATCTCCACATATGTGATGTGTGCGCACATGACTGAACATGATGTGCACACACAGATAAATGTAAATTAAATAATAAATACAAACATACTTTGAAGATAAGATGACACACATCACAGAGGAAGGGGCCTGAATATGACTGGATCACTGGATTTAGATGGCCCCACATACCAAGCCCCTCCCCCCAACCTCTTCTAGAGTTCCCTGATGGAGAGTATATTTTGCTCAGCCATGTTGCTGTTGGGGAAAGGCCATGGATGGCTGCCTGTACCATCCCAGCTTTCATAGAGATCATGTGTGGGTGTGTATGAACTAATAAAATCTAACTGTGTGAGCTTTTGGTAAAAGAGATTCACGAGCCACCTGTAGAAGCCAAGAAAGAAGTGGATCTGCCCATTCTATAAATAGGTTGATCTTATTATACCCTAATGATCCTCCTCTTGTTCTTCTCTCAGAAGATATAAAGAGAACATCCATCACCTCCAGTGCAGGTCTATATTTGACACAAAAATCAGGGTGATGGGTGATTTGTATAATTTTCAAGGCTCACACACCCAAACAAGCATCTTTGAAAACTGCCAAACAAGACAATTTTAATCCCTTTAAATTAGATGTGAATGCTTTTGTATATAATATGAACAACATACACATATCAATATTTTAAACAAATATTTATTTAAAGCTATTTTATTGTTTAATAAGCTCAAATGTAATAATAATAAAACTACAGCAAAGTAGGTCACCCAAGAAAATGTCTCAATTTTAGATGTGAGAAGAGATGACTTCTCATCTATTTCCCATAGGTCTGCAATAGCCAGCATTTTAAAGTGAAGTAAAAGCAGAATGGGACTCCAGCTCTGACATAAGAGGGACAGAGTTTTGGAAAATGGAGAATAAGAAAACCTTCCTGTTACTGGACATATCTAGAATTTTAAATGCAAGCCTATATTAAGTAGATAGTTTCTATACTTATATTAGACTAAAAAATTAATTGCCTATAATTTTCAAATATATTCTAAAATTTTAAGTTGATGATATTTAGAAATGTTCGTGTTGCAAGCCAAAATCCTAGGTTGTAAACATTATATGTGACTATATACTAGCAAGGGGAGAATAATCTGTTCCTTCCTTCAAATTTTATTTCATTTAAGGATATGATTTATACACAACGTGATCTATATACTTGCTCTTTAGAATCATTTCTGAGTTTACCTTAAGTGACTTCTAGAAATTTGTAAGGGAAGCCCTAATCTAACTGAACTGGGTAGATGTTTACGTGTGGGGAGTGTATTTCTCAGATAAATATAGAATGCTGATCATAAGACTAATCCAGAAAGAGCCCACTCATCACGTCTCTTCCAGGGAGCTGTCATTTAAGAAAGGAGATACTGTGTACATCCTCAGGAAAATTGACGAAAACTGGTATGAGGGGGAGCACCACGGCAGAGTGGGCATTTTCCCAATCTCATACGTAGAGGTACGTGTTTGCTCCTCACTTCCTGAAGGATGCTGTCCCAAAGGTGATCGTGGGTTTAAGAACCAACAGCTCTTCTCCGTTACAGAAACTAACACCCCCGGAAAAAGCGCAGCCTGCGAGACCTCCACCCCCAGTCCAGCTGGGAGAGATCGGAGAAGCCATAGCCAAATACAACTTCAATGCAGACACCAACGTGGAACTCTCCCTGCGAAAGGTGACCTGGCTGTGTTTCTTCATCCGGGTGTTTTCACTGACCATCCAATGCTGACGCCACGATAGGTTACTGGAACATTGTTTTCTGGAACATTCTAGGACTTCTCTAGTCTAGAAAGGACGCAAGATTTCCCAGGGTCACTGTAACCTCTGGTCCCTGTGTCCCTTCTGTCTGTGACGTAGCTTAGGAAGCACGACCCTGAGTCCCCCGCCAAGGGGTTCCTCAACTGGATTCTAAGGAGTGCACATGTGGAACCCTGAGAGGAGAGAGCACTGATTATAATACCTCAAAATATCTTTATATTGCCTCATTACTCGATTTTATTTGCAGGGGAGTAGGCTTGAGACAGGGTTTCTCTGTGTAACCTTGGCTGTCTGAGACTCGCTTTGTAGACCAGGCTGGCCTTGAACTCACAGAGATCCACCTGCCTCTGCTTCCTTCCCCCGGGGTGCTGGGATTGTATACAGGGCCATGCCATCGCGCCCAGCTCATTACTCAATTTTAAGTAAGTAGCCCAATATTTACTTTTCTCTTTCTTGGAATCAAGGAATGGTCCTGATGTAAGGAAAACACGTCTTCTTTAGAAGCATTTTCAAAGAGCTGTCTAAGCCCTCCCGTTTCCTTGATCATTCTTTTCTAAGCCTCACCATGGATTCAAATGTCTCCAGCAAGCTATCCTATACAAATAATTTGTCTAAAGGGGAAAAAAGGGGAACTCTCTCTCCTTGCATAGTTAAGAATGATAAATGAAGTATTGCTATCATTTGCTAGATAATGGCATGTGTTTGTTTGAGGCAACCAAGCTCTCCACACAACACAGAAAAAATGGCAATGTGAATTGGGGTGGTCTAGAACGTTCCATGCCTGCAGACAGTTGGCAAAGTGAGGGTTTGGGGCTTCCATTCCTAACTCCTCTTCATCAGCCATTCTCTCTTACTTTCCATGTACACTACTTAACCCAGAAAACCACACAGAATGTGCCATCTTCTGTTCCATACTTTAAAGACAGCCTTTCCTGGAGTTTCTCACATAACAGCCCAACTATCAACTGCCTGTTCTAAACACATTAGAAAAGCAGAGCAATTCTGGGATCTGGGGAGATTCCCTTTCCTTCAGGATGCTCCACTCAGTGGTGATAATGGTACCTTTCACAAACCGTCCAGCAGTTTGAGTTAAAGAGAACCTTCAATGTGCTGTCACCGAAAAGGGCTTCCTGCTGTGCTCAAGGCCAATGGGCAGATGTCAGCACCCTGACCGTCAGGTCCAGTTCCCCACAGTTCTATAGCACCTGCTGGGTTTGCTCTTTAACAACTTGCTGACTGAGCTCTGGCCCAAGTGCGATTTTGAGTAAAGAGTTAAAGTTATCTGGCATTGGCCTGCTTATTACAGGAAATATAATAGTTAACATTCCTACTATTGCAAAAGTCAAAGAGTCTACTCAAAATGCTTAATGGCTAGAATGGCGTAGCCGCTCTCCAATTAGAATGGATGCTGGGGTTAAACTGTCCTCATCAGATCCAAGGGGCCAGTAGCCCTCTCCACAACTCTGTCTATTCTAGGGTGCCATCTTTGTGCCATTGTTTTTTTTTCATTCACTATTACTTCTCAGGACATGCAGATTAAAGAAGGAAAATGAATATGCCACTCGAAATTATGCCTTCCAGAAGACAGCATCTGTGACCCACTTCAGACACACTTTCTTCTTCCAGCATGTCAGCTCATTGATGCCATGGTCATTGATATGACACCTTTCACGCCATTTGCCTTCTGAAAGAACATCCACAAATCATTCTATTTTGTACCATTATGAGACATGTATAAGCCCATTTCCATTAGCCAAGCATCCTTAGGACTCTGATATGAATGAAAGGTTTAGCTTATATCTATGCTGACAAGTTATATTTTTCTAATAAACACTAGGACCTTGTTTGCATTCTCCTAATCAAGCAAAACTGGAGGTGTAAAACTTTCCAAACAGAAAATTACTGTTAATCAGAAAACAATAACAACTGTACTTTTTCTATTGTTGTCTCTCTATTTAATAATGTGTTTTTCCAATGCTCATTGCAGGGAGATAGGATTATTCTTCTTAAAAGAGTTGATCAAAACTGGTATGAAGGTAAAATCCCAGGAACCAACAGGCAAGGCATCTTCCCTGTTTCCTACGTAGAAGTCATCAAGAAGGACACAAAAGGTGCTGAGGACTACCCTGACCCTCCTATACCCCACAGCTACTCTACAGACAGAATTCATAGCCTCAGTTCTAATAAGGTAAGAAGCCATTTTATCACGTTACCGCCATGGTTGGGATCTCGGAATATGATAATCAGTAGGTTAATTGGGGTATTAGACCATCATATCTATTGAGAATAAAATTCATATATTATATGCATATACAGGAGTTCCAGGTCAGAAAATATAAGTTAATTTTCCTCAAATAGATGATTGGATAAAGGCTGAGTGTTCATTTTTATTAATTCTGCTTTCAAGTTAAAGTCTATAAAGAGAATAAAAATGTTAGTATCATCAAACTTTCTTGATATTTCTATATTGCTGTGTATATAAATTATACACTCATCACATCCCTAAATTGTGAATCTAATCATTATATAATCACTAGGTGTGCAATTTTCTATAAAATTGGCATTTCCTTCATAGAGAGCCTAACCATTATTTTTAATTTAGGGCCTATAATTTCATTATTAGTTTGTATAAAAACATGATAGATTATTAGAAATATTTAGTTTTTATTATCTTTAGGGCCATAAATTCCACTCTTTGATCTAAGCTGGTAGCTGAAGATGATTATCTTTCTCAGTACAATTTAGAAAGGACCTGCCCTCCTGAATCGCCTTATTAGGTTAAGGCTATCTTTCTTCCTTCCTTATCCTCAAATATTTTTCCTCACCTTTCTGTTGAATTATGGGATATTTTATATACATATGTAGGGGTTTCTTTCTCCTTTGCAATTATTTTAAAATATAATATTTTAAAGTACCAATGAATTATTTCCAAAATAATATCAAATGCTTCCCAACATTAAAAATTATATATTTAGCTGTATAATATATTATTGTTTTAGTTGAGACAAGGCAAAGAATGTGGGAAAACAGACCATTAGCACTGTGAAAGTGTGAAATTAAGATTTCAGACAGTGTCCCCAGGAATCTAAGAAACGTATAACTATCTCAGTTGAGATATTTTCCCTTAAAAAGTGTAAGATTTGTCATTTTATTAATGCTAACCCTCCTCAAAGACTGGGTTTTAGTCGTGGGTAATTTGATTATGACGTTTCCAGAATTTAACAGGTAGAGATCAATATCCTTCCTTGAGTATTTTCTATTGATCGTGGGAAATAATAAGAATCTTCATCCATCCATTCATGTTTTACCTATGATCCATTCATCGTAAAGGAACTATCAGATGATTTTCAAGTGCTGACCCTTTCAATAAACTGATGCAGGAGAGAAAAGCAGACATCTACAAATGCTCACTCAGCACTGGAGAACTTCTCCCATAGGCACTAAATATTTTAAATCAGTGTTTCTTCTTTTTCTAAAATGTTTTAAATGGCATTTATAGGAGGGTTGTTTTAAAAACAAATTTTAATGGAGAAATATACAAGTTTCACAAGTAACCAATTGTCTTATTCTTACTGCTGAAAAAAAAAAGTCAAAGTTTATGTTCATAGTTTGAAAGAAATTCTAGATTAATGTCTACTGGTTATCTATCCTATGGTGTCATTGGTTTAATAAGGAATTTCCTGTAGTATTGTTTTGGTCAATTTCAGAAAAAAAGACATGTATTTTTAAATAGATACAAAAACAGCAAAAACATACATCTTCTATTTTCTAACTGGCATTTGCAAATAGAGAAAGGAATGTATTATTAACTTTTTAATCACTCTTTAGCAAATTCAAATCACATAGCTTGACATAGTTCTATTTTGAGAAATGCTCAAATTTAAGTTGGCATTATTTCTTGTTTCAGTACAGTAGAATCTAATTCTAGTCCTTTTCTAAGATAAAATAACTTTAAGTATGTTTTCTGATATAGGTACTCCTTAATCAAAATTAACACTATTTTGGTATTACCAAGTCCATTTAAAAGATTTTGCTCTCCTAACATGTACAGAGGTGACAGTGAAGTCAGAAGCCGCAGGTAGCAGAAGAGACTACAGTCGTAATGATGATGGTGAAATTGAGAAATTCCTTGGTGCACATAAAAATTTCTGTCCACATGAGGAAAAAAAAATAAGAATATTCATCTTGAGTTACTATCAGTTTCACTCATTTCCAAAATCTAATTACTAAGATCAAACCTAACAGTTTTGTAATAAGAGGTGTAAAATAGAGTTTTAGACTTCAGTAAGCCAATCAAATGAGATTTCCTCTTAAAAACCAATGTGGCTGTCAACTCCTTACGAAACCATGTACAGTATGACTTCACGTCAGTGGCTAAGCAGACTTAGATCTTGGATCCTGTATGAAGACGTTCACATAGTTGTGCCATATTGGTGCCATTTGCAACATCCCATGGTGAGATTCCCTCATATTTCCTTTAATGTAAATAAGCTCAACTAGTGACCCCTCCTACAACAGGACGCTTCAAGCCAGTTAGACAGTGGGAAACACTGTGCACTTGGACATGGCGAAGCCCAGGGCTACCCTTGGCTGCATGTGTGAAGTATTATCCTGACAGCCAACCAGAACGTGCATCGTCAGCAAACTGTTCCGGAAGGCCTTTCCTCACAGACCACAGTCAGCTACCTACAAAGCACTCAGTTAACGGTCGTCTACCATCCTCTCTCGTGGCCCTTGTAGAAATAGCATGTAACATTGCTTTTCCTGTCCAGTGAGGGAAGAGCCGTACATATATCACAAGTTACTGGGCAGATTCTTTAGAAGTGTATCTTCTGAATTTTCATTTGTTGTTTTACTCAAAACATATCAACACAAACATATAAAGCACGATATTTTGACTTCACAGGGTCTCCATTGGTGTCTGCTGTCCCCTTCAGTGTAAACATTTACCCCGTAGGCTTTTTAAACTTTGAAGCAGTGATTATGTAAGACTCATTTTATTCTTATCATGAGGCTCTAGGACCAAAGAATATTTTTTTAGCATTTATTCCCTTAAACATGTGTTCCTGTGTACTAGTCTAAAATATTTTGTGCCACAAATATGGGACAACTGTGAACACTCAAAAGAGTGGGTACTTCTGCGGGGAGGGGGATGGTAAATCAATCCAGAGATTAAAACAAAACTTAGTTACTAGATATTATTCCGTGCTAACAATCCCCAGATACATTTGAAATACAGATAAGAGTTTGTGTAGTCTTCCAAAACTAAGTGTTTGGTTGCTTGAGTAAGGTTTAGAATTAACCTAAATGACTTTATGCATATAAGTTTCAAATAAATTCCCCCAATCTAGAAATCTTCCAAGTATCTTCCATCTGTTGTCTGTGCTACAGCCTAAAATTATATTCATCACCACACTTTTCCTGTATTTCTCTGTCATTGTATTTTCATGTGTTGTTATTTTCTTTGTTTTACTTCATAACTCCTGCTCATTTATAAGTTGGCTTCCAGTGAACAAACCTGTCTTCCCATGTACAAAGCTCTGCCTGACTCAGAGAAAGTTGCTCTCCAGGGAACTGCCCAAGAGTGGCTACCTCTGACAGACTGGTGTCCACCAGCAAACCCATTGGTTCCAACACCATCATCCTTCCTCGACAACTTCTTGATTGAATTAGAGAAGTTTAGTGCTTTAGCCTTACCATATGACCAGGCCAACCCGAACATCCTAAACCAGGTCATCCTTGAAATTAAGGAGGAACCCTCTCATCTCCCCCTCTCACCGCCTCCAGCATCTGTACCAGATGAATCATCCCGCTGTCTGTTACCTCCTCCTTGCTCAAGTACCACCTCAACTGGCGCCCAGTCTGACAACACGCTATCTTTTCTGAATCACGCAAAGGACACTCAAAGCAAATTTGTAGATTTGAATAAAAAAGGAAAGGGATTTTCAGACCCTACCAAGATCCTTGAAGTCCTGGGTGATAAATTCGTAGCCTCTGCATTCCCCAACGTGGGTGCCTTGCCTATAACTCTTCCTGCCATTGGAGAGGAAGATGAGGAAATCAATGAGGGGCTTACATACCAAAGACGTCTGCCAGGATCTCAGGAGCAAGATGTCACGTGGTATGACCACAGTATTACAGAGATGACACCACAACTGCATATCAAAGAGGAAGGAGAAGAGGAAGAGAACCCTGACTGCTTAACGTATTCATTAGGCATTTCCACACATCCTAGGAGTCCTGAGGAAGACAGCAATGCAGCCAAAACCAGTAATGAGGTATTTAATGTTGCCCAGTTACTGAGGACTAACCAGTTTTACAATTATCCAAAGAGTTAATAATATTACTAAATATCTACTCTGACACTGCCTTAACAGGCTTCCTTATAAGGAGTTACGAGCACTGGAAATTCTGGGGTGGAAGGAATATGCAAGCACAACACGTTTTATTAAAATGAGGGGAATATGTATGGAACAATTCCACTCTCCCATCATTCCTTTGTCAGTATAAATTCAACTTTTATATACTTAAGCTTATTGTCTTTCTAATATTTTAATATTAATAATGATAGCTAATCATTCATGCTTAGTTAAGTCAAACACTGTTCTCAGACCCCAACATCTTTAATATTCAAAGCCCAGAGAGCTAGGAAATAAGGTTATTTCCATTTTAGAGATAAGGGTGCTGATGGACCGACAGATTTGTCTAATTATAAGATGAGAAGGTAGAACCACTTGACATGGTAGCAAAACACAACAACAGAGTAAATAAAGTAAAATGCCAAACAACTGAAATAGTTCTCTAGTCCCGTTTGCTTCTTCTGAATCAGTTGCTTGAGGTTAGTGGCTACTTGCGGCCTGGGTCCCGCATCTCGGTCTTAGAAAGGACCTTGGCCAGTAGTTTCCATCAATAAAGAGAGGGAATAACCTGAACCTTGAGTTATGAACTTCTCTCTTGAAAAACAAACTAGTTGATCTCTCAAATATGCTCTGTCAAATTCAAGAGCAAGTATGATTACCAATGAATTATGAAATTGTTAAATCAAAAAAAAAAAGTCTGTAGTATACGAAGTCACAGTGATGTTACAGAAGATGTTTCCTTCCCCGACTCCTCTATTTCGAAATGACTGACCACAACTTTGTGAAAAGGAAATGTACTGCCTGGTGACAGAGAGAGTTCACTGTAATA